GATAGCCTTTGTAACCATGATTTTTTTTGTAAAGATTAATTCAAATTTGGCGGAGAAAAAAAATATCAAAAAAAATCACATCTCTTGTGATATTTCGAAATTGTGTGGGTCTTTTGAAATGAAACTTGACACAAAATTTTCTTTTATCTGGGTGGACATTTTACCCACTATAACGATCGATTACGTGCGGGGCCCGAAATCACCTCCTTAACCCGCTATACCCTTTATTAACATAAATTACAATAATTCAATAAGCCAATGGAAACCTCCGCAAATATAAATGCGTAAACTATTTTAAATCCAAAAGAATTTACTTAAATAATTTGCTTAAATAAAATACATACAGTTTTGACAATCTTGCTTAACAATCTCAATGCGCAAACATTTCGACTCTGCTCTGAGTCCTCTTCAGTGCAGAAAATACGAAAATTACCTTTACAAAAATGTCAGAATCTGACATTATTATTGTTAACAATCTATCGGATTCGACTTTTTTTTTTACATCAAGAAACGACGAGTTTGACAGAGATCTTTTCCGTGGAGTTTTTGTAATAGTAACTATCGTATTTTTCTCACTGAAGAGGACTCAGAGATTGCGCAGAATCGAAACGTTTGCACATTAAAATTGTTAAGCAAGTATAGATTGTTAAAACTGTATGTATTTTTTTTAAGCAAGTAAATTGTCTTGGCTTTAAAATAGTCCACGCATTTATATCTGCAGAGGTTTCCATTATTGGCTTATTAAATTATTGTAATTTATTGATTTTATCTTGGGACCATTTCGTATTTTATTTACGTATTATATTTAATTATATATAAATTTATTATTATTAACAAAAATATTTAAATAATTATAAAAATAATAATTTTTTTATCATACAAATGCTTTATAAATAAGTATGCATACTTATAATATCGTATATATATTGTCTCAAAATAATAATTTTTTCTTCTACTTTTATCATCTTTAGATAATCAAACATGAATGTAACTATAAAAATGTACTTTTAAATAAAATTAGACCTTTAGACCTTTAATATTATTAACAAGTTACAAATATATGTTTAAAAAAACATATATTGGTCTAATAATAAATCATAAAATTAATATTATATATTGTTGGCTAATTGTTTTATTAAATTTTAATAACCAACGCTAACTCACAGAATGTCGGTCTCTAATATTTTGCCGGTGTTAGCATAAAATAATTTTGTGATACTCAACTTATTCAATAGTTGTTGCGTAATATTACGAAAATTTAATGTTATAACGACGTGAACAAAATAATTTCATGTAATTTAATAGTATTTCTAATAAAATTATCATTTGTATTAAATCACAATATATATATCATCTACAAAAGAATAATACGATTCTACCTAAGAAAGGAATAATATAATTCTAAGCCTAAGAAAAGAATAATACAATTCCGTCTAAAAAAAAAAAGGAATAATACAATTCCGCCTAAGAAATTGCTCTCCACCGGAATTGTCAGACTGCCAGCTGAGAGCGCTACGGAAAGGATGATGCGTACATCGCGACTCGCTCTCTTGCGCGATTTATATTCAAGTACGAATACCGCGTGCACAGGTGCAGCGGCAGGTCGACGACCACGTGATGCACGCGCACCAGGTGCGTAAATATGCGCGCGATGACTCTGCGCGACTTATCTCGATCATCATGCTCGGCACGCCATCGCGGGCCGATCTTTCTGCGGGAAGAATTCCCGGGGCTCGCGCAGATGTCGTCGTCGCGCAGCAGGGATTTAACCTTCGTCGTCGTTTTCTTTTTGCGACGAAATTTCAACGCGTTTCTGACAATCGTCGGAGAGTCGTTTCCACGACGCGGCGACGTTGTGCAACGCGCGTTCTTGTCGTTATCGCACTCATCCGAGAAGCGCGTGACGCGAAACGTGCAGAGATCTCGCAAAAACCAGGATGAAACAAACACAATGTGATACGCGGTAAGGCAAGAAATTATGTGACAAAAAAAAAGGTACAAAGATATTGCCATTTTTTTTTAATAATAGAAGAGAATATAAAAAATAAAATATACGGAGATATTTTAATTTAATTTTTACAACCAGCAATAAAAATTCGACGAAGTGTGATATACGTAATGGTAAACATAAAATCACGTTGTATATGTATAGTATTTTCGTTGAGAGTCAGGAAGATAAAGAAATCATATATTGCTTGATTGGAGACTTCTTTTTTTTTCTCATGGTATATATTACATTACATCTGACACGTAAATATAATGGCAGTTTTAGCGAGAGTAGATAACAGTAGTATACTCGAAGGAGAGAAATGTTTCCTCGGCGGAATTAACAAACGAGGAAACAAACTGTCTAATCAGAAAGCGCTTGTACTGTGCACGTGCAGAAAACCGTCCAATCATTATCAGTCCGTTATTCATTAGATCGCGATCAAAATTAATTTATACCAATCCTTTATGTATTTTTCTTTTTACTACAATCAGAATCTTTCTAAAAATAGGTACACATATACATTTATAATAATAAAAAAAATATATTATTATAGGATTATAATTAAAGTGATTATTAATACGCTACATTTCTCGGACTTTTACAAGATTGGCTCGAGTGAGGCAATTAGATGTGATAATAAATAAGTTTCCGACAATATAGTGTTAATAGCTCTGATTTCGTGACGGTTAAATAAATATTTATCGTTTTCCCATATTTTTATCTAACAGAAAAGAATTCTATATTCTATATCAATAAAATTTTGTTCAATCAATTCCGTTACTTCAGTGAAGATTATTCTAAATTACGGAAATCTCATTTTATAAAAAAGAAATAACGTTAATATATAATGAATATTCCACATATTCTTCTTCTTCTCCCTTATATATCCTCTCTCTCTCTTTCTATTTCTATCTACATTTGCTTTTAATTTTACTCTTATGTTCGCTTTAATTCTACTATTTTTATTTTCATCCCCAAAATTTTCCAATTCTCGCCCCTCAAACGAAAACTTTGCTTAGGCATATCAACAACATCATGGTCGCGATCTCTAACTTCGTGGAACCGGCAGAGTTCCCGCCGATTCTGGGCGTTAAGTGCATCGTGTGATCTTTATGATCAATGTGATTGTTGAAGTGATCCATGTGGTCCCTGTAATCGTGCATCGTCGTCGTGCGGTAAATCGAAGACGAGTCGCAGACCGTGCCCATGATGAGTTGCTCGGTCGATCCCATGAGTATCCTGAAGTTATAGTCATTCAGGTTCAGTCGCGAGTACATGAAGGCAGGCAATCTGTCGGAGAGGACCCATATGTTGCCGTTCCGGTCAACCTGTCGAAGTAAAAGTGAAGTTGTGACATAGCGTTCAGACATTAACAATAAAATGAAGTGGCGAGAAAAAAATCACATTAATAAAATTTAAGAATTCTGTTCTTTTCTCTGTCGAAGATATAATTTATTCGTATCTTTATGCGGGTAATAAAGAACGCGAGGAGCATGAAATTACATCTGCCGAATCATTGTCGAATAAAATAATTATACGCTTTTCGGAAATATAAAATATGTATAAGTAACGATTATTTTCGATTGTAAAATGTTAGTTAATACTTCTTTTTAAACTATTAGAACTATTTAATTGTGTTAATTTTTCTATCGCTGTTGCTTTGGCAACTCATGATTATGCAATGATGACACAGAATTCGTTGAAAAGCTTGCGGAATATATAAATAATTTTAATTAATACAACACTAATAAATTATTGTTGGTGATTAATGGAGCTTCACATTAGGGCTTCTAAGTATTCGGATATCCAGATATTCGGATATCCGAGATCGGTTTCAATTCGAATCTCAAAACCGGATTATTCGGGTAATCCGGATATCCGAATTATTGGATCTAAATTCGAATAAAATACATCCGCAATGTATTTTATTTTATTATAATTTTAAAATAACATAAATTTGTTTGTTGAAAAATGCATTTTATTTTATTTATTATATTTAAAGCTATACCCTTTTAGCTATAAAACATTTTTTCACTCTCATATTTAGTTATCGAATTTAGATCCAAATTCGAATCCAAATCCGCTACAAACTTAAATTCGATTTAGAATCTAAATTTGTTGCAAATCCAGATTTGAATTCAAAATACGGATCCAGATCTGACACTTTTATTATTCGGGTATCTTAAAAGATTCGGATAATCCGAATTTGAAGCATCACATTTATTCATAATCCGGATAAACGGATATCCGGATAGCGTCAAATCCGAACGAATCTTGAAGTCCTATTTCACATACAACACATTCGCGATTACCTTAAGATCATTGGGGAAAATCATGGTGACGTTATCCTGGTAGACGTAGCCCTGTTGCTGTACCATGAATTGATTTTGCGGTCTCCAACAGGCGATAGTGTTTAAATTCGAAAGCGCGTAAAAGAGAACTCCGGTCTTTGGATCCAGGAAGCTGACGCTACTCTGGCCGTTGGGGCCGCGCGAGCCCAGCGTTTGGAACTCGTAGGACGTTTCTGGAAACAAACGCACGAAATGAACTTGACATTATATGACAAATGCTTTATGTAAAACATTGTCCTTCAGGCGTGAAAAATATCAAACTATACGTTTCTTCTTCTTTTTCTTTGTAACAGATTTCTTGAAATTCTTTAAATTGACCTTCTCTTTGAAAAATATCGAGTTACTGATTCCTGAATAATTGACGAGTGATGATATTCTCAAATTACTTATTTAAATAAAATTGATTTCATTGTTCCCTAGAATTAATTAAATTTCAGCGAATTGTTGCTTGTTTTTGTAATATTTTTATAAGGAACATAATGGGCAGTCTTTCATTCTTTTTAGAAGTCACGCTGAAGAGAATCACGTAAAATAAAGTAAGAACTTAATCGACAGTTGAATGAGTAGATGATGGTTTATCATGCCTCTTTCATAAGAGCGTAATGTTTTATTTTTGAAACGTACCTGCGTTACTGGCACGCTGAGGATCACGCAACAATCTCGTACTGACGGAAAATTCCATGCCGCTGGAGAGTGCATGATAGTACATGGTGCTGTAGCCATCACCAGTCGGCGCGAGAGCCATCCCGAACAGGCCGTCGTTCCATTCGAACCATACTCCCGACACATTGAATTCTCCGCCCTGAGAGAGAACAGCATGTTATTCGAGCTCGTTGTGAAACTTCGAGCGACTCAACGTTTATTTGAACATATCCAAAATTTCCGCCCATTGTATATCAAAGAATCCCAGCAAACACAAATTATATAACCGCAATGTTGCAGCAATATTGTAACATTCCAGCTATTATTGCAGAAATATTACATTGTTGTTGCAATAATAGTACGGAATCAGGGGTGGCGATTTGCGCGTGTCTGAAAAAACGGGCTGTGATACCGACGATGCCAACTCCTCAGAGGGAAAGCGAGAGACTTATATTGATAAAGGTCCGATTTTGATTTTCTTCTCGATTGTGTCTTCCTTGAAAATACTCGTGAATTATTTCCGATAATTAAGTAGTTATAATTTGTGTTTGTTGGGATTATTCTTAATAAATTAGCTATGCGTAAAACTATAATAAATTTACTGTATAATAAATAATAAAATTACTATTATAGCAGTAAATTTAATTAAAGATTAATTATCAAAATTATGGTTATTTATGTATGTATAACGGACAGAAATGAACCGAAAGGGAGGTAAACGCATGCATTTCTGAATTCCGCACTGACCTTCGGATCCGGATGGAAGGAGTGGTGCTTGACGAGCCAGGACCTGCGGAGGTTCCAGGAGTAGACGACGAGACCCGGGCCGCCGAGGTCGCCCAGGTAGCCGTACGAGTCCTCGCACGAGTAGTCCTCGACGGCGATGTTGGCGAACAGGGAATCGGTGGTCCTCTGGTCGGACGGTATCACGTATTTGCGCAGCACGCGGTCGGTCGTCAGGTCGTAGACGATCAACGTCGGCGGCACCTGCTGCTCGGGGCTACCCAGGATGTCCGTCAGTCCCGTGTCCAGGACCCAGAGCCGGTTGCAACGGTCGGCGCGCACGCGAAACGTCGAAACGATCTCCGGCACGCCGGCGGCGCCGTACTGATGGGCCTCCCAGGAGGGATACGGAATCAGGGGTGGCGATTCGCGCGTGTCTGAAAAAGCCAATGGACTGTGATACCGACGATGCCAACTCCTCAGAGGGAAAATAAGAGACTTATATTAATAAAGATGCGATTTTGATTTTCTTCTCGATTGTGGAACAGTCTTCCTTGAAAATACTCGCGAATTATTTCCGATTATTAATTGACAGTTGTACACTGTTAAATTTATAGTGTCAAATTTAATCCTATTTGAGTTGCCACTGCTCCTATTTAGTATACAGTTATTTTTAATATTTTAATATTTTTAACTAAAACAATGGAGCTAAATATTTGAAAACAGTTCAAATTTATTTTAAATTTGGGTTAAATTCCATTGTTTTATTTAAAAATAACTATATATTAAGTAGGAGCAGTAGTGATTTAAATAGGATTAAATTTGACACTATATAAAAGATTTAACAGTACGAATCGATGAGGACATAATTTAATAGACATCAAAAAATTGGCAAGAAGTAATTAAATCTCAATTTAATTAAGAATCGGGAGGGACCAAAACGGAGTCGTACTGATATACAATTGTAAAAAAAAAATAAATAAAACGCAGTCATCAAGTGTAGATACATAATTTCGTCCAGAAAGAGATGTGTGCCAAAATTGTCTAATGAATTCCATGGTCAAACGGGTCAAATTACTTAACATTTGAGACATTAATTTAACGTCACGTTACAATTCGGGATACCCGTTTGACTCATTTACATTTCTTTCTGGACGAAATTATGTATCTACACTTGACTGCGTTTTATTTATTTATTTTTTTATTTGCAATTTTATATCAGTATGACTCCGCTTTGGTATTATTTAATTTTACTTATATCGACTAATCTGCATATACATTACTTATAATTAATACGTTGCGTTACAAAAATTTAATTTTTGAGGCGATTGAGAAAGACCTAGCGAGGTCGAAACTATAAGTATCACGAAATTGTGTTTATAGAGAAAATAAAAGAGTTAAAACTACATCTATTTGTTTGCTCGTCTTTAGCCCGATTCTTAATTATATTGTCTTTACAATAACGAGTTATTGTAAAGTGTTATTGTAATTGTGTTTATCATTATTTTAATTAAATCTCTTTATATTCACGAGAGAAGAATATTAAGAATTGATGTAGATATAATTGAAATTGCCGAATAAATCCTCGAATATTTGTCTTAAGATTATAAACGTCTAGTCAGACACAATTACGCTGTCCCTCGGGCTTTTGCAGGTAATTGTAAATTTGAGGATGAGATTAATCACCGTTAAGTCTAATGTAATTGAGACTGGCGGCAACTCCCTGTCTCCATCTCGGCACCGTGATGAAGAGTCGATCGCCGGCCACCTCCAGACCCAAGGGCAGATTGTCTTCCTGCTTGTAGTCCGGGAAGAGCCTCTTAATGTCGTTGTTCGGCCACTCGTAATCGATCTGCTTCCATCGGTAGGCGACCCGCATCTTGCCGATCGCACCGTCCAGCAGGACGATCAGAAGCGCGACCGCGACGACGATCGACGACGCCCGACACCGCATTGTCATTACTCTGATAAGAATATCAGACGCGATTTACCTCGCTATAAATCTATAGAGAGAAAATAAAGATCACTCGATCTTTTCTTAGGAAGTTAATATTTCCAGTTTGTTTCAAGTTTTTTTAAATAAAATTAAATCTGGCATTTAAAAATTGAGTTTATGATGATTTTTAAATTAAGTTTATTATAGATGTGAATAGCGTTTAATGAATTTAATATTAATTCGGGATTAGGCTTGTAAAAATTTTGCATTTTTGTATATCTACAATTCTTGTTATTAATGTCTATATGTAGTTATCATATTTTTATTATTAAAGACATTTTTATTATTAGAGACGAATAAGACTGATTTAAAAAAAATGATCTCTCTCGTGAAGGAGATAAATCGCGATTATACATTTCCAGTTTTTCCTTGAAAGCCGACGGCCTTCGCAGTACACATACCGCGACTCATTAATTAAACGCACGCGTGACTAATTGCGAAGTCGTGGAAATGAGGTCTTTCAATCGACGCCCACTTGTAATACTGCGAGGCGACAATGAATTATAAATGACTAATAATCGATAATGATGATCACGAATTTAGTATTCCTTTCTAGCTCATTGATCATTCAAAACAAATGGTTAAAATATAAATAGGTTTATTATAATTTCAATAATTTTAATGTATTTTAATAATATGCAACACAGAAATGCTAAGAAATCTGGCTTGTATATCAGTTTTGCGTGTCAGATGTGCTGACGATAAAATGTTACTATCGTATTATATTTTGTTATTTTATATTTATTGTATTTTCGAACCTTTTTCACGTCACGTTTTGATTATTTTCATTTACTCGAGTCATTATTCACGCCTTAATTATTTGCTCAATTTATTATTTAAAATTTACGTTTTAGGATTCATTACCTAAGATATAAGCTTTTACGTAACGATACTTAATTTATTCTCTTCTTTACGCAGAAATATCTTGCTTTATTCTAGCAAGGAGAATCATCAGTATAATTTCGCATGCATTTCACAAATATCACGGCTCTTTTATATTCCGTTCCAATGACGTAACGGGTCGTGCAGATAACGGTACTCAAGTCGAGTGCTTAGAAATTGGGAGGTCTCCAAGTTTTAAAGTGCATAATGAATGTGAACAAGAAGCACTATACTACAAAGCACAATCATTGAAGAAATTTCTTCAAAATAAATCGTCCAATCTTTATTCTTTATCAAATTCCTCAATATTATACCTAAGATACATAGCTGCACTAAAACCTTCCAATTAGAAATCGAAAGTAATTAATAATTAAAAAAATAAGCTGAAGTAAAATCTAAATAAACCAAATCAAATTTTCCCAGAAACATTAATGATTATAATTCAATTCATAAAATTTACATATTATTAAACAATTAATTGCGTTAATCAGAAAAGTCAATCTTGATTATTCTAAATCTGATTATTCTAAAAGTTTCATTAACAAAAATTCCTAAATTAAAAAACTGTTGAAAAATTAAATTGAAAAAGTGTCAAGATAATTTAATTGAAGGAAAATTTATGCTAATTTTAAAAAAGCATCGCAAAGCAAACAATTTTTTAAAAACCTCGTGCATATAATCTCCACATAAATATTTTATAAATTCATCAAAAAACTCTTATCTATCTCGTTATCCAGTTTGTGTTATTATACAAGACAGGAAAACACGTAAGAATAAATCTAAGAGTGCTAACATGCTATGTACACACTCGAAGGATCAATTATTCCACCGTTGTATTTGCCATTGTACATGCCAACGAGTGATTGCTGAATGTTGTCGGAGGTCATTGCTGACCTGGCACCGGTGTTTTTCCGGACGTCATTTGTAATTTTAAGTAACGTTACATACTGAGAGATTCGTTCAAGCGTGTCATTATGATCCAACATCACTGGAGCGTGATTTTTACGTGATTACTATAGAAGATAAAATAAAAAATAGAGATACAAATAGAAATAAAAAAGATTAATAATTAAAACAAAATTAAAATTGAGAATTATGATTAACAACAAGAACAAAAGGTTTAATTGTTAAAAAGTCGAAATTTACAAAGATTAATATTCCAAATGTTACATACAAATTACATAATTATAAATATAAATTAATAAATACAAATCGAAATAATGCAATTTTTTTAACTTAGTTTAGTTTGCTCTTGAACTGTTTGATCTCCGATAATAACGATAAATTTACATACAAAGGAAGTATTCGTAAAACAAGATACAAAAAATAAACATACTCTCGTATGACAAAACGGCGAATTTTAAGCGAAACGAGCGTTATTCGCGTCCCATGAAAATTCGACGTCCTTTCTCCCCGAGAGGAGGGCAATTTCGCATTTAGTGGAACGCGGCTGGAATCACCGCGACAGATTTTCTATGTTTAACAAGCGAGTCGTAACACGGTTAACGGAAAAATAGAAAGCAATCGATTTTTCGACCGCTTTACATTCGACCCGCTAAATGATACACAGCAATCGCGCTCTCGTGCCCGATGAATATGTATGTTATTTCATATCCAGCGAGTTGCAGCCTACATACCCGGGCGTTGTACGCAACGCTATGTAATTTACACAGATATTATGTCTGTACATTACATCTGAAATTCATTCAATTATCCGTTCAACCGGATATATTTCCAAATACCATACCTATGTATATCCGATCCAACAACATATGTGTAATAAATTCCCGCGTCGTTAAATCCCGTTTTGGTTATACAATATCGCTATTATCGCATATTGATCTATTAATATAAATTATTATAAGATAAACATTCAGTTTATTACATCTTATTCGATATTTATCGTTTACTGTTTGCATTGCTAATAACAAATTTAACGATATTATCTTCTCTTCCCGTCAAACGACGATAACGCTAACGACGATTACAATTATAATCATTCGCGTAAAGGGTTTCAGCGGTTACAATTGCGGTTTTCTCACGGATTATCGCAGATTGCCGCAGCGGAAAAGAAGCATCGATGAAACGCGGTTTCGCGCCGCTTGAGTTTCGCACACACGCGCGCGATTTCTGCCTCGAATAGAAAGTACGACGACGAGCTAATGGCACAAGCCTTATAGGGCAAAATGTTCGCGACGAAATGGAACAGAGTTTTCTGTCAAGTCACAAGAGTTTCTGCCGAAGAATTATCGGCCTCGCTGGGGCCTTAGGGGCAAAGCACTTTCGCGCGATTTTTGACGACCACGCGGCTGCAGGCTGTGCAAAACTACATTCTGCCCCCGCAGACATTCTCTATTACCAATTAACCGTGCCGATCAAACTTGTCTCATTCCTCGGCGGAAACAGAGCTGATCGAAAAGCGACGACAATTCCACCGAATAAAAGACCGGTGAAGGTACTCTACAAAGTACGAAAGTCGATTAAATAATTAGGAGAAATCATTTTTAGATAAATAATTAAAACAATTAAAATAATTAAAAACGGTAGAAATAATAGCGAGCAATAGAGACTGTGCAAAAAAAATGGATATTCTCGAAATCTTTCAATGACACGACAAAATCTGTATATGTAAATGAAATTGAAAATTTTTGCAAATGATAATTTGATGCAAACCGATTATTGGTTTTATGCAACAGTATTATGTAATTATAAAGGATATTTTAGCTTGCTTTCTTAGGCAATTTTTGAGCACACTGTTCAGCACGCAACTTTTAAGACACCCTTTTTATAATTGCATTTTTACACACTTTTTGGAAAACTTGAGCAGATATCTTTGCGTGTACTTTTACAATGTTTTACGTAAATTTTAATCGTTTTATATTTCAAGCTTTTTTTTAGAGATTTTTAAATTTTTCATAATTTTATATTAAAATTTCGAAAGAAATAAGTTTTAATTATTTTAACCTTTTTTTCAAACTTTTTAGAGATTTTTAGAGTTTTCATAATTTTATGTTAAAATTTGGGAAAAAATTCACGTGGCACAGAAGGAAGCGCAGAAGAAAGTTACAATTAATAAAGATTGATAATTTACACTCGATCCGCTCGATCCTGGGTGATCACTACACTCCGATCGCTTCTCCGCGAGAGAGAACGGCGCGACAGGTCGGACCACGCGCGCCGGTTAAGCGCGACAAACTGCGAGGATTCGACGGCGTGGCGGCGCGGGTCTGGCCGATGCCGCGCGCTCGGTTTTTCCCGGGATATGAGCCATGCGGTACCGTTGGAGATCCGCAGACCTGGTCGGCAATCCTGTCGGCTACGTCAGCGTCGATCCGCCGCGACAAAGAAAATCGCGGCAGGAAAAGAAGAGGGAAGCGCCGAGGCTGATGTTAATCGAGTTAACGAGCGAGGACAATTAAGAAGTAATCGCAAAGAAATCCGATCGATAATGCAATCCGCAGGTGACTGTCACCCGGCCGCGGTCCTTGAGGTATCTTAAGGGCCGACACCTCTGGAAATTTCATTGATCCAGTTAGCGCGCGAGGACAGCGAGTGAGAATGAGAGCAAAAAAGTCTCTATCGAAGGATAATGAGATTTGTATGTGTAATATATGGAATTGTCTTCGGCTGTTTAAGACGTCCCAAGGTATTTTCTTGGCCTTTGAAAAAAAAAGAATCCGTTAAAACGTGACGAAGCGCATCAATCATCTTTCTCTTCCTCTTTTCAGATTCTGAAATATTTTAATAAAATAATATTTTCTTGTCGTTAAAATTAAGAATTCTTCGAATAGCGCTTACGGTTGGAAAAATAATAAAAGACGCTTTCGTAAATAATACGAAATATATTGACGAGCCTTTATTAATATTATATTTAATGCTGTAGATTTAAAAATGACGTGAATACAATACACAGATTTATCTGCCGTATTATTTTTTTAATGATGAATGAAGACTTAAAAAATATTGGCATAACCACGCATCTTTTTTCGTAGATTACACGCAACCGTGCATTTATCTACAATTTTTTTATCATAAACATTAGGAATTCTTCGAATGACACTTAAGTGAGAGAATGATAAAGATACTTCCATAAATAAAATGAGATAATGATATCCCATTTACGAAAGCTATGTAAATTTAGCAATGACGTACAGTCGTGGACAAATAGATTGCGACATTTTTTTTTATAGATTTCTAATATATATTTAATATACATATATAATATAAAAGTAAGAAAGAAGCGAATACGAGTCAGCACGGAAAATGGTGCGCACAATGAAATTATAAATACATTTTAAAAATACAATTTAATTAATTAATCCGTATGTTTCGGCTCTTTTTTTAGCTATCTTCAGCAAAAAGATAATGTGTAATGCAAAAAGATGTATTTATAATTTCATTGCGCACCATTTTCCGCGCTGACTTGTATTCGCCGCTTACTTTCTTTTATATATTGAAATTTGCGTTTTTTCATATTTAAGTGAATATATATAATATATATTTTATAGGTAACATATTTTGCGAATGCAAACCACGATTGGTGTACTATCTTTATAGTCTAGAGACAGTACACCAATCGTGGTATTTGTCCACAACGTATGCATACCGCTGTTACATAAACATATTACCGTATTATTTTTCAGTGAGTAAAACCGTAAAAAAATAATATGGACATCTTCCCGTACATTGTATATAATAACTCATTCCCGTAGAGTGCATGCAATCGTTACATTATCTGTAATTACGTTATTGTGAATTAATGACAATTAAACTAATCTAATCCGAAGCCAGTCGGCGCTATTATATACTTTCTCTTCCTCCAGCTACCACCGCTACACGATTTATTTTTGCTATATTATACTTAATAAAAAGAAACAAAATCGCCGGTAAACGTCGAGCGAATAAAACAGATAATAGAAGAATATAAGACGCAAAACAGGTTGAAGAATCGCCGCGATTCAGGAAATTCTCCTGTTGCGAGATTCACAATGCCCCTCGGCTTCCCATCCGGGTGAGCGCGAGTTCGCGGACGATTATCCGAGCGTACAATGAAGAAAACACTCGTCGCCGTGAGATTAGCGCGTTATTTGCATCCTCGATGTAAAGCGCGCGAGAAACGAAACGAGGGGAAACGGGGAGGAGGGGGGAGATCCGTGTCCCTATCGCGCTCGTGGCTCGCCCGAGCATTTTTCTAGCCTTTTCAACATCGCGCAATATCTCTCCAGCTCTAGGCTCCGCTGCTACTCTCGCGGGAGTGTTACGCGTTTTCGAGGTCGATTGGCGGTGTATTACATTACACCTGACTTTCACTTTCGTGATTGTCAGTGCCGTACGACCGTCGCTCGTCGTCGCCGCCGCGCCGTGCTCGTGCATGAAACATATTTGGGCCCGCGATCGAGAAAAAAAGATAAGACTGTAATTTGGAATTCGAGATAAAAGTCGTCAGTAACGTCATACAAAGACTCAATGGCGACTCAACCTGCAAATGTCCTTGCATATGACTCACATTCTCGGTGATCGCATCCCGCGATTGTCAGCATTGTACATGACTCATTAACTTATTTCTCGACCTTCGTTTGACTCTTTCGGCAGATTTATCTTCGATTTTTAAATAAATCTCCGAGATCTAAATGAACAATCTCTAAATCACCGGGGAAAATTATTTAAAACAAAGTTGGCTTTTGCGCACTTGACCGTCTCGTATTTCCGAATATTTGGCGATAATCGGACGATTTCCGTGCCTGAAAATTTTAATTTTACTCGGTCTCTTAATTCTTGCACCGGGCGCAGACCGATCGCGAATTAAAACAACGTTCGGCACTGTCGATTAGCTCGTCCAGCCGTTCACCTGTGATCGATCGGTTCACCTATTCACCTGGATTCATCCTCCGGTAGAATCGAAGACCTTGCACGCTCGTTCGCTCTTCCTTTCGCCTCGTTTTCTTCCTCGCCTCTAATCTTTTATTACACCACATTAATATGATAAAAGATTAAAAACCTTCGAATCCTTTAATCCCCGAAATTGCGAAAACATTTTCTACAATTATTCCTCATGTTTGTCGTAGTCGTATTTAAGACGTGTCGTAGAATATAATTTAATCGGTTTCTGCCTCGGGTCAATCGGAGAGCTTATGAAAGTCGTACAAGTCTTATCTCAACCAACACCCGGAAGACGGGCATATTTTGATCGCGTATAGTTACGGCCTAAAAGTCTCTCGGTCGATTAAACGATCCTGATTAAAGGCACGCCGCAAGCGAAGCTCGTTTTAAACTGGCGACCAGTTTACCGGCTCTGAGCTCCGAGCGATAGACGTTAATCAAAACGTTCAATCAGCGGAAAAGCAGCTCTTTCCTACGTCCAATCATGTAATTAACGTTCTCAATGTCGTCACGTTGTTCAAATTGTAATTACGTATCTTCGTCAAAAGAACGCGAAGATATCATCGTGAGGATAAACTTTACAATCGTTATGAAATAAAGTAGAATAAAAATCAATATATCAACAAAGAAATTAAAAAAAAAAAAGATATAATTCATAAAATTATATCTATTTTCTTCAAAAATAAATTGTGAAAATAATTTTATAAAATTTTAGATCATCTGCAATGAGCGCGGAATAACTAATATTTAATTACAATTATAGTATAATACGATAATATAAGATATATACAATAGTATAATTAAGGTATTATTGGAAGCAAGAATTATCAAATAAATTCGATTTAAGAAAAAATTCCGACGCGATTAGTGTAAATATTTATCGATAGCCTTAAGAAATCTGAAAAGAGCATGAACTCTCATGAAACCTATCGCGATGATGAAGTTATAAGGTCATAACTATTACACTCTCGCGTTTATCGTTTATATCGCGTCTTAACACGAGCGAACGACCGCCGGATGAATGAAAAATACTTACAGCTTCGCTCGTACCTCGCACTTCATTCACCAGTCGTGATACATTATGCGAGCGTGGCAGTCGCGAACGTCGACCTCGGCGATATTACGGCGACCGTATATGTTAGGGAGCACCGAAACCGGATGTCCTTTTAAATTGCAGGAGAGAGGGAGGGGAGGGTCACACCAATTACACCGTACGCTCAACATGCGATCGCGGTGTGTTTCGTAGAACAAAGGAAAATTCGTCGGCCTGGATATATCGCGCCGGCATAGAATCGATACGTATATATATATGTATACACAGGAGGCTTACCTGCGAGAAGCGCCTATTGATTCGCAGAAAAGGCAGCATGTGGCATTTGACTTTCGAACTATGCCATCGGCATTCGCAGGAGTGTCCGCCAACTCGCTCTCGCCCGTGGCCGAACGTCGTTGTATAATCTCTCGCCCACGGCTAAACCGTCGTCGCATCAATTTCTACCGCAGGTTTACTGCCAAACCATCTCGAGCGGAGACGCTTCACCATCAACAATGCACATTATGCAAGACACGATCTTCGGAACGGCTCGAAAGTGAGGCCTTCGATTGTCGATTTCATCGCGGGACGAGACAAAAAAATTGCAAAATTATTTAACCGTTGTATCGACTCGTATACCCGCAATCATCTGTGAGCGTCCGGGGGGGGGGGGGATACCACGAGTTTACAACATTCGTGACTTTTCTGCGCGGATTTCTTCGCCTCGTTGCAATGTAACGAAACTTTTTTACGCGGAGAGCTCGACACACGCCGATACATCGCCGATACAAGGATTTCTGCCGCGATCGAACAGATGGAAATGAAAATCATCCCATAAATTTTCGTAATCGCAGAGATTATTTTCCGCCCGAGAGAGGGAAGGGAAATGAACGCGAAAGCGATGAGAAACCACGGTCTCATAGAAAGTTACCGCGGTGAACCACTTTCGCAGAGTGAGATTATCTACTTAAGTTCGGATCAAGTTATCAGAGCGATCTTTTTCCCTGGGCCTACGCGAACTGCGCAGACTTGATTTAATTACAGAGTCATTCGCGCGAGACGATAAATCCGTCACTGTTGTTCAATTCAATTCAGTTCTCATAATTACGAGCCTTACGCAACACCCTCGGCTCGACTCGAATTTCTTACTTGCAAATTTAATTTACTCCATTTAATGACGATTTTAATTCGGCTGTTCCTCAATCGCAAACTAAAACTAACATATTCCATATATGCAATTTAGTCTTCTCAAGCCTGATATAAATATAAATAAATAATTTTTAGTAAATTAAATTCTTTTTTATAGGATTTACAAGGATGTTTATTAAATTATTAAATTGCTTTATCAATTTAATTATATTACTCCAGATTCAGAGCTGTGTTTTCAAATCAACAAATACTCGACACAAAATATAGTTTGCTTGAACTGAAAAAAAGTGCTTGAATTGTAGATCTACATTATAAAAATATTATTAAGTACTTTTAAGACCCGCTTTGACATTGTTGTTTTCTCATTTCAGTTGTTAAAATTTTTTTTATTATATATAATTTTATTTTCTATTTGTTCAATTTACCCAATTGTAAATTTAATTCGATTAGAGCCCGCTTGTTATGCTAACACTGCTTCTAACACGATGAAACATTCTCTTGTGGTCAAGGATCATGTAGCAGAAATAAAATAGACGAGCGGCTGTCACGCTCGAAGTCACAGCCTGATTCCTCCTAATCTTTTCACTCTCTTCGATCAATCTCCATTTTCTTTTCTTCCTACCCTTCCGTCCCTTGTCGGGCGATCGTCGATTTTCGCCGATCGCCGACACGCCGCGACTTCGATCGTACAATCACCCGGTGTTTTCTTGCTCCGAAATGATTTTATTGATCAGTCTGAATGGGATACACACACTCGTGTCACTTCGCAACTTTTCTTTTTCTCATATCCCTCTCTTTCTTTCCTCGATCATTATTGTCCGTTCTGCTCGTAACGCAGTCGGCTGAAAACAACAAGGTTGTAGAAGGATAGAAAGCTACGTCTAGAATGCCCGCGGTCGGTCCACGCTTCGGAGATAAAGCGACGTGTGCAGGGACGAGAGACTTTCGTCTTTTCCTCGATCCGCAAAATCGTCCTCCTCTCGCTAAAACGATCGCGGCCGATTCGCGAAAAGTCGGCCTCGCTTTCTCGCGAGAGGCCTCCTTTTTTTTTTCCTTTTTCAGCACGTCCAAGTTAAAGTGGCCGTTGAAATTGCGCGTAAATTGGCTCTCTAATACGTCGTTGGGTTTATTAACCGAAGCTGGCTGAGCGGTTTTAGAACATCGCGCTGTTAAATGTCTAAGTGAACGCGCGATGAAACACCTCGCTGACGCATCGTCGAGTTTAATGCAACGGAAAATTACGCACGTGATTCGCGCGAATTTCTTATTTACACGTAGGATTAGCCGAAACGTTAAGAACAAATTTGCAGGAATTGTACTTCCTAAAAATTTATTAAGTGTTATTAGAATTATGAAAAATCATTGAAATAAAATCGCGAGAGATACAAGCTCACTCGAGAATAATAAAAACATTAAAATGTGAAATGCCAATTTTTGCTTAGATGTACTAATTGTTTTACAAATAACGTGACATAATTACGAAGATCGTAAGAAGAATAGATATTTATTCAAATGAAAAAAAAAATTATATTGAATGCCCGGACGAGATTTAGCGGACCACTCCCGATTTAATTGATTTATTTAATCTCATTATAAAATAACAGCCGCGATCATGATAATACCCTGAGATCGACGAGGGAGGGGGACGTCGGAGCGAGCCCGAAGAAGTGCGTTTTATTCCCGAATGGACCGAGTCGCGGGATAATAGTATTAGGATGACAAAGAGCGAAACCGTGTTACCGGTTCGTCGAGCAAAAGCGATCCCCACGAGAGCGAATATCGTGCATCCGCTGTCACCAAGTGTAAAGACATTATTAGCGTAAAGAGGGGTAGGGGGGGGGGGACAAAAGGATATTAAAAAAGGAACGGAAGGAGAAGGCGAGGTTCTTGCGCGCGAGCGCAAGGGATGTACAGGACGATATCGGTATACACATATAATATAGATATATATATAGAGAGAGAGAGAGAACCAGCTAAGCATTCTACGATACGATCGAACTGTCGAAGACGAGAGCCGCGAAATTCTTGTTCGGCGGAAATTTATTCTTGCAAATTTTGCCATTAACTAAAAAAAAAAAAAAAAATTTCAAGTGCAGACAATTTTGAAAACATTTGTGTGACGCGAATAACCAAATTATAATTACGCATTGTTAATCCTTTCGAGACACTTTGAAGATACTGCGGTAAAATAATAAGAAAAATGTATAGAAAATTTTAGAAAATTACTGATTTGGAAAACAATTGGTAATCTTTCAAGTAACGGGATTATTTAATCAATAGTACGACAGAAATGCTATAGCTGATGATTGCTGGATCATTGGACCAGAGTTTTTTTATGTTTAATAAAAATTCTATTTCGAAATAAATTTTATTATTAAATTCTCGTATTTGGAAAAATATTTCTTTTTAGAAAGATCAATTAAATATAAACTAGATGTAAAAATAAGTAATGCAAAATAATGATTCTCGAATAAGAAAAGCATGAAACAAAAGATTTTTTTTACGGAATTATTTTATTATCTCATTAATAAAGTATCTGTATAAATATATATAAATATTTATATTCCCACCTTTTAAATTTTATTCAAAGATTAATTATAGAGATTTGGACCTGAAAAAAATACCCGGACTCCGCTCCGGACGGGAGTTAAAAACGCTCAGATAATACCTAAATAATTGCCAATCGTAATGGTAGTGTTAATTAAGGATGCGTGTTTTTCTACAGAAGCCAAGCGATCAGAAAGCGTCTTGAAAGGATTAAAATTCGTCGACAAGAGATACGTGCTAATTGCATCGCTCTACACATCTAAACACAATTAATCTTCTCTCGTTTCGACGTTCCGAACGATCGATCGGTTAATACGATTTACCCGCGGTTCATTAACCGATTATTACGATTAATATTGTTTCTCGGTCCAGCCACGCGTCCGCCAAGCCGAGAACCGTCACACTCCCCGATTTCATTTTTTTTTCCTCTTCAATCCTGATGCATCGTATGCAATTCGAAAAGCCGAATCGAGCCGCTGTCTTGGAAGAGAATGTGCGAGCAAAAACCTGATTAAAAATACGTTTGAAACATTTTATCGCGTGAAAAGTGTATGAAGAAAATTGCACACATTAATAGTCAATAAAATTAAAATAAAAATCTACTTTGATGTTATAAAATCTAGAATAACTTCGAGTTATATTGAATCGAAACACGGGTGACGTTAATTTTGAAATAAAATAAAAATCGATAAAAAATAAAAATCCACTTGGAGTTTTTATTTATACGCGATTTTTGCTTATACGCCCCCCTTCCAACCTCTTGCTTGAGTTTCCAAAATTGGAAATTGAAAATTTCCAGGAGGAGAGCTCGTTCGCGCTTTTCTTCCCGTCGGATTGTACGATTCCGACCGGAGAAAAAATCGGGAGGTTGCGACTCGGTTGCCTCGACTCTAGGACGGTAGGTCCAAACAATCGCCTGCCTTGAGGCAAGGGACCGATTAGGTCCAACAGCGATGAGATTGCTGTGATTGGTTGAAACAATATGTGGCTGTCGCCCGCAATTCTGGGATACGGAATCCAGCGGTGACGTCGTGTGATTGTGAAAAATCACATCACTGTTCGATCCTCGAGTCGGATAAAAAAAAAGGTAAGTTGCAAGATGTATAATAACGTATTGGAGTACACATAATTATAAAAGCGCGACGCGCGTGAGATTCCTTTGTCGACCTTGTCACGAAAGTGAAATCGAAATCGGCGGAGTCGAGGAAACTGATTGCGCGAAGATCGACATATATCCCAGAACAGCAGACTATGCCCAAAACTTTCGAGCTTTCCACAGAACGTCTTCTTTATTTTATTCGGAACATGTCGATAATATGACACTCAATAAATAACAGAACTTCTACATCTCCAAATTCTGCTGTTAGATTGTCCTGCCGAATCGCCGGAGTGCGAGGCTTCGCGTGAACGCGTTTCTCTCTTTACGAAGATAAAAAAGAAAAAAAAAAAGAAAAACAAAACAAAAAACGAGGGCAATCTGCGGGTCTGGCTCACGCGACTTTATCTATCTCACATCTAATTGAGAATCCTTGAGAAAAAAATGACACGCAATTCACGAATTCATATAAATTTTCCTTTTTTATATTTAATAATATATATTATGATATTCATATTTATAATTATATGTATATTTATAATTATACATATATATATAAATAATTATATAAAATATTTTCTACGTTCATTTTTCTATTTTCGAGGGAAAATCGCGCGAGCAAAACCCGGCTCGATTTCCGATGGATCGATTAGTCATTTGAAGACAGCTTTACATAACACGAGTGCGATATTTATGTAACTGATGATAGCTCTATGTATACTAATCGTCAACTTTCTTTTTCTTTCCCCCGATTTTTTACTCTTTCGAAAAGCCTCGTCTCTCGATTCCGATATTCATCTAAACAGGCACTTGACAAAAAGAGATCGTTCGTTAATGGTCTTATAAATCTTAATAAAATTTTACTTGTATCCTTGAGCAGTCAACAATCCCTGGCCCTCGGAACGGTCGCGAACGAGGCGCTGTTATTTGCAAGAGAGTAAAGCGATAGTGCGTTTTTCGCGGGGGAGATTCGGAAAGACAACCCCTGAAAAATAAAGGAATTATAATAACGATGCGTAGATCATGTTTTGGTACGTACACGTGTTGTACGGCGCGCTTTCAATGCTGTTTTCATTTTCATTTCTATTTGTTTTTTTTTTGCTGTATCTTTTTCTCTTTTTTTCTTTTTTTTGGTCGAGGAGACGTCGGTAGTAGTACCGGACGATGACAGTGGGCGAGGGTGGTGGTCGAAAGAACGAAAACCAGCAGCAGGGTGCCTACTGAAGACAACAACACAGGAAGTAAAAAAAAATCCTCGTCACCGCGCCCACGTAACGCGCGTCATCGAACGATCACGGCGGTGTAAACAATCTACTGCGTGCACACGGGCGATAATAATCTTCCGCTTATCGTTCGCTTAAAATCTCGGCCCGATTTTAGATCGATTTTTTTTTTGCCCCGTGACGGGACGAGTCAATCGATCGAGACCTATAAAAACGGAAAACTGTGCCGAAAAGTTTAAGTTCGGTGTGTGACAACGGACGAACACGTACCATTGAATTTCGCTAATTAATTAATTGGTTTACTTTCTCCCTTTCTCTAGAAAGGGATCGACGACGAGCCGACCTGGGAAAATTAATCGACAAAGGCCGATATCGATAAAAACGATACGTATCGTTGCTCTCGCCGATGTGAATCTCACTCTTGATCCCGACCTTATTCTTCCTCTCTGTTTGGCTCTTAATTCCGGAAAGAGACAAACGATGTGCTTAAGATTAAAATTAACGCGACATCGATAAATACTTTTAACTGCTCTAAAAGACATTAAAACGATACAATTATTCTCAACCAACTGTAGAGAGTTAAAGCACAATCTTTTACAGTTTGCAGGAACGGTGTGTCTCTTACAGATGGACTTAACGGTACAAGAAGCAACGGAAAATTTCACCGTAGTTCAACCGACATTCCGGTCAGCGTTATCAATAGACACCCTGAGTAGAAACCGATAAGAGCGTATATAGTTAATAGTAGACAGAAGGTAAGATGTAAAGTGAACGAGAGATAAAAGTAAGTTCGGGAAGTGCCAAGTTTTGTAGACAGAGTAGGAAAGGTTCGCCAAGTTCTGCGTAGAGGAATAAGAGGGGGGGGGGAATTGGGCGTGTCGTCCGATCGTAGAGCAAGGTGCGCAATTATATTCGAGACTATATTAATACTAAGCTAGAACAATTCGCGTATTCAAGTGTCTTACAGACGGATGCACGTACAGTAGAAGCGGATTTTAGAAAATGACGAAAACAATCACGAGATATAAGAGTCTGCCCGAGACTCGGCGTGACGGGTCACGCTCTACGACCGGCGGCGTGAGAATCGGCGAGACCGTGGTAAAGGAAAAGTGAAGAAAACGGCGTGAGTCGAGTGTAGAGAGCTGGTGTTCGATTCCGTGAGCACCCTCCGTACTTACCACTCACTCATGCGTCGCCAACATTGTTCCTTTTGGCAAAGGGGGAAAAAAGGGGGAGGCTGCTTTCCTTGAGCCGAGTCGATCGCCCTCGCGTACAAAAATCAATTGATAAAATCATATCTCGAAACCTCGACTCCTTCGCACGCGTAAAAATTATTTGTCACCTACTTAAATTCACACCTTCGTTTACCGTAAATCGCGAAACTACAGCACGCGATATTTGCGAGTGTCATCCAGTTTCTCAAACTCGATTCTTAAATAATTCGTCAAGAATTTTATCGAGGCCACAATTTGGAAGTTGTGTAAATTAATTTTGTAGATTGGTAAAAAATTTTATAGATTAAAAAAATTCAAATTTTTTTCGTAGTTAATTTCGTGATTTTGCTGCGCGCGTCGTGAGGGTGCCTCGACTCGACTCGGAGTAATAACAAAATAAAATTTGCGACAGACTAACCTGAGGCGACCGAATCTTCACACTGCGGCTAGCAAAAAATGTGTTTTCAAAACTGTAACGCGTATAGGTACACCCGATCTCTCTTTTACCGTTGATGCTATGCTCTTGATTCTATATGATACTGCAATTTGGTGAGACCCGGTTAAGTTAAATGTGTATCGTACCTATCATCTGTCATCATTACACGTCCCTTCGTCATTATCGTAATAATTCTGAGATTTGTATAATCTATTTGTCCGAAAAAAGAAATACACACGCTAATTCTATCACGGAGAAATCGAAGATGCGCCGCGTAGAATTAATCCAAAACAAAACAATTAAAAAAATAAAATAAAAAGCAAAGCTAATAGTTAATAGCTAACTACAGATTTGATAATTGTCTCAAATTACAAACCTGGTTTTCAATATACATAATAAATAGATCACGTGGCCTGATGCCTACTTACCTGCGAGTGTTTCGAAATATCTACTATACATGAATTTATTATTTCATGTTTTTTTTTTTTTCGAACTCTCCAAGGTCTAAAATAAAATATAAATCTCTTCCGTGTTCTCGCCGAGAATACAAGTCTAATTTCCTTTTTCATCTTTAAAAAAAAAAAAAAGTCAGGTACTTTCGCGTCTTCGATTCCTCCGAGAATTCTTACCTCGCGTTTTACTCGACAAATCGAGGTAGGAAAAAAAAGATTTCGAAATATCAAACGGAACGGAACTGTCTCCGAGAGTCTACTCTCTCATCTCGGGCTCTACTTAGTCAAGCGAGTCATCATCCAGCTGCAGCGTGAAGCGCCACCTTATTCGCGATCGCGCCTCTCCAAGAGGACACTGCAGGTGCGCGGAGACTGAGGGGAACAGCGCGTGATGGAAACGGTCTAATGCGCGTAAAGAGGAAAACGTCTTTAAGAGGGGAAAGCACGTGGCACTTCGTCGTTGTTGAAGGTACAATCACTTCCTGAAGAACCGCGGGGTCAATCATCAATTTTACGGGAGGTAAATGTGACCCAGTCAGACTTTTCAACGATAGAATTGGTCTTAACGCGTTTGATTGAAGATTTCAGACCAATAACAATGAATCGTATTGCACGTTATACATAACAATGTGTTTTTCTAGAGGAATTTCATTTTTGTATATTTCTTAAAAATAAATAAATTTTTTTTTTCTAACATTTCTCTTTATTTTATCATATATCAAATTTATATTAATCTCTCGTTTCCGAGTCCAAATTTCGTAATACCAAAATACCGGTATGCATTATTTACACAACCATATTCAAGAAGTTACACGTATATTTATAAAGTACTCGAGAAAAATTAGAGTTATCAAGGATTCGGTGTCTGCATATAAAGACTTATTCTTGTCACTGAAAATTTCAGCGGCGTCACAATTACCTCGCGTCGATGATTAGAGGATTCGTTACGGAAATTAAGCGATAAATTCGTAATTTAAAAAGCTTGTTTTAAGATGCAATTTTTTTTTATATTTAGACTGACCTCAAATTGCGAGACACGCACCAACTTCCGTACCGAATCCTCGGATTATCTCGATTGACCCTTCTCGTACGAGAGGATAATGTCTTTTGCGCGCCGCGTTGTTGTCATCGCAACGGACATACCAGCGGACTGTAATACAATGGTTGTCCGATGCAGATAGAAAGATTGCGAGGTAAGTCGGCAGACAGACAGACAAACAGATAGATAGATAGATAGATAGAGAGATAGAGAGATAGAGATGGTTCGCGCTGGCATTTCCGCGCAGGGCAAACGACGGTGTTGTTACAGTGCGATTATTTCGTTATTATTTCATTCCGTAGAAAAAGGCGATGGAAACTTGCTCGAGTTTTGTTAGCTCACCTGGCACACGACCAACATAGCGTGGGTGCGCGCATATACACACACACGCACACTTGCAGTCGATATAAGAATGATTAACATTTCGCGCCGTCCGCTTCGTTATTTCGTAGAGTAGCATAAGGGGGCGAGGGAAAAACGATAAAAGCCGACCGTTTCCAGCGCGCACCCGACTTCTTCGAAGGAAATCCTCTCTCAGATGTCGATGACGTTATGTGAGTGCGTGTGTCTCTTTCTCTCTTCCATTCTTTCCCTTTTTTTCACGCACACGCACGCATACTCTCTTTTTCTCGCTTTCTCTCAGTATTGTTTCTCCGTCTCTCCTCTCAACAATATAATAAAAAAAAAAGGAAAAAAAAACAGATCGTGAGAGAGAATTGACGGGGAACAAATCTATCGTGCAGATTATTTCCCGCTTCCTCTCTTTCTCTTTCACTCTCTCATCATCATTTCTCCCCTTTCTCTCCTTCTCTCGTTTGTGTATGTGACTCTATGTGTCTCTCTTCCTCGATCAGGTCCAGACCCCATGCGAAAATTAGGGGCGGGCCCACAGCACGAAGTGCAGCGGCGGGGGATTGGGCCCGTCCATGGGGGGCGATCATCTGAAGCGTGGATGCATCATCGGCGTCAGCATCGGTCCCGGAAAGCCCATCGGCGCGGCGGCGAAGGCCGGATGCATCGCGGCACCCGGTGGTAGGGCCCCTAGCATGCCTGCAAAGCAACGCAGCGAGAGATTAGTACGACCCGCGATCGAATGTCGCGGGGAGGGGCAAAGAAAACAGTACGTTGCCCACGTGCGGCATACACGTGCTTTTTGATTACTCGAGCCCGACGCCGCCGAACGAGACGACGTCTCTATTCGCAGGATCCCATAATGGGATCTTTCTCTCGCACTCTCTTTTAATTGGGGACCGGGATCCCCAGGTATACTTACGTCGCGACTGTTCACGTTACAAGATAATTATGGGTCCTGTGTGTTGCGTTAGTGCGCAGTTTTAATTTTTTTTGTTTAATGTATCGTTTTTCTGATAGTTTCTGTTACTACATCATGTACCGTGCTCGTTTTTGGAGGACTACGCGATCTTCAGCGCAAAATAAGTCACAGAATCGTCGTGGCGCTTCGAATAAAATTTTAGAGAATAAAATTTTTTCGATAAATTAGAAAATAATTCTCCGAAATAATTTAGTTTAGAACATAAAAATATGTTAATTTTTAAAAAAGAATTAGAATCTTTAAAAACAAAAATTTATTTTAGTCACACTCTCTGAATCTGAATCAGTGGAAAAGTACTGAAAAATCACATGATTGAGTCAGTACCTATAATCTAACTATAATTTCACTAATAATCTATAATTAAACTATTAATATTAATCTATAATTTCACTGATTACCAGTGAAACACTTGGGACTGATGCATTCAATGAGTAACCATTGATAATCAGTGACCATGCACTGATTCAGATTTAGATAGCAAGATTAAATTACGAAGATTTATATATTTACATATTTTTTAATTATTACTACATAAATTTTTTTCAATTAGTATTTATAAGTGAATTAAATTCCTTTATTTGAGACTCAACTAATCTAATTATGTTTTTTTGATTTAATTCGTGTATTCAGATTCACAACCACAATTCAGACTCATGTTCCGCTGAAAGGGAAGTTGCCTGACAGCCGAACGATTATTGCATCGAAAGAAGTACGTATGTATTGGGATAAGTCCGCAAGATATCAATTCCGTTTAGTCTCTCCTCTGGATCGCTCGGAGTGCGCTTTGCCCTCTCGAGCAATCTGTCTCTCCCGCGATTGCCAAGGTAAGCGTTAGCCGGCCGAGCGTGAATTCACGTGAATTCGACCTCCAAGAGAAGCCGTGTTTTCCTCGCGACGTGATCTCCTTGTCTCCCCAGGCAAAAGCCCGTAAGGACTGGACGCCACCCGCGGTCGATCTGTTTCTCGGCAGTCATTTCCACGTATGTACTACGGTTCTACCCAGCAGCAATCGCTGAATCAATGCGAATCGCCAAACTAGATTATATATGCGTATATATACGATAGGTACATAACGTACGTAGAACTCAGCTCAGCATGCAGTGCGCCGCATACGCAATACAAGTCACAAAACAAAAACTGACAAGTAGGTGGTACCACACAGAGAAAAACCTCACACCATACAAGGAACGAGTCTCACTCGGAAGGGGGGGGGGGGAAGACGCAACATCGGCTCGACATCGCGGACCGTATTACGGAAGTCCGCGTATATAGGGATCGTTCAGCTGTCAGCCGACCTCTTCCAACAAGGACATCGCCGCCAAAAACGCGCTTAGTCACGAGACCCTCGAGGAGAATTACGGCATTGCTCGTTTTGTGACAATCGAGCAGCGTGTAAGTAATTGGTTCGAAGCTCTCGAGAGCATCACATCCCGACGCGAGAGAAAAAAATCGACATTAAATTTCTTCTATTACTTGCGCTGTCGTCTTCTTGCTTTCTCTTTTGTTACGTCTTTTTTTTTTTTTTTTAATTTGACGATACTCACGATGAGCATATAAATAAAGAGAAAAATCGTGTTAATCGGACGGACCCTCGATTGAACGCAATAGAGTGATATACTAGGTAACGTGAAGTCGTTTACTTACTGTTGCTCGGCTCAATTTATCTAAAATCTTTCATTGTGTAACACAAAAGCTAGGCTATGGTGTGAGGGAGATACATTACGTTCGTTCTCGTTGCTAGTTTTTTTACTTTCCATGAGAAGAAAATTAAAAAAAAAGTAATAATAAATAAAATGCACCGGCGAGCACAGTGAGAACGCAATTCGATCCCTTCCCTCTTCGCGATACCTCGTTTTGCCTTTCTTTTTACATTCGCTGTGTTTTATTTCCACAATGCATCCCAGATTTCGCGAGCCACTTTTCACTCACGGATTCTTTGAACAATTTGGAAATCGACTTTCTTTTCTTTTTTTTCCTTTTTAAGTAAAAGATACCTTCGCTCTTTACAAGTTTGTAACTTTGAACGTCAAATCTGCATATCTTGATAATTTTTAAGTCGTAAATTTGTTGAAGGGAAGTCTGTATAAAATTAAAGAATAAAAACTTTACTTAAATCTCAACTTCGAAATAAGTTCTATTGTTTAAATCTTGAAAGCTCAACTTTCTTTCTTTTTCATAATTTAAAAATTATTAATTCCTTCAGAATACAAAAAAAATGGTCAAAGAATCAATGGATAAAAAAAGTGATTCGGTAAATCCGCGATATTTCGTATAATGTGAAAAATTGAAATCGATATTATTAGTGACTGCGATCGACAATTGACTCATCAGAGTGATCACTTATCGAATGCGAAGAAGGAAGGGACAGATCGCGAGAGAAAAATAATTATCGTTTTGTAATTATTCATTTGTTTCTCTTATCACTTTGGAACGACAACTTCGAACGACTGTCAGTACCGTGCCCAAGGAAGCAGTTTCTCCACTACTGTATCACAACACCAGGATTCCAAGCTATATATAATATATAAGTAATACTGAAGAGACAAGATGGTAACACGGCTGCTGGCGAGGTAAATAATGGCGTATGTGAGTCGTAAGAAGAGTAATATGGTTAAATCGAGAGAGTGTGAATAAAGAAGCTGAGAACGGAACGGAAAAGGAAACAAAGAAATCATACATGAAAGAGATGTATAAAAACTGTAACGGCCGAGCGGCCGGAGAGTCTTTCTTTGTCTTCCGTGTAATAAACTGTACGAGGAACTGTACTAGGAAACTGTATATAGAAATCAAAAAACTATTGCAAACAAATTTTTTTTTATGTACAAAACTGCGAAATCGTGAATGGAAATACAAGTATTACGATAAAAATGTTTATTTACGATAGGTGTATCAGTGAATGATCGATTGACAAAAATCTGTCGAGAAATTTAATATACATTTTTAAAATAATTCACAATCATATAAACCTCTTAGAATAAAATCTCGAAAGACAAAAATTGATAATTTGATTAAATAATTATCAAAATTCTATATCAAATAATAAAAAAATTATAAAAGTAATCAATTATAATTCTAATTTGTAAACGTATGATTACAAATTTAGTAATAATACCGTGTGCAGTCTTGTAGCGAATAAAAAGTGCAATAATTTTCTGATTAATAATTCATAATGCAATTAAGACTGACGCTTATTGTTCTGCCCCAATTATTTCCATTATTTATTAATTATCATTTACTAATATATTCATATTCATTAATCATGTATAATAATTAAAGTATCCAATCAGATTTATATTTTTATCGTGATAAGCATTATTTTTTTGATCAATACGACGGATATGTGAACGATCATTCAGCGATACAGCTGCTCTCTCTATATACCTTTCAGTATCGATTCTCTCTCGTTACTTTAATCTGTGATCGGCATTCTCAGATCGGGAGAAACAAACGTATCCAAAAGTAGTAAGTCGGTGTTGAAGTGAATTGGAATTAAGATGGAAGAAGGAACATTGGCCGCTCGACCTACCTGCCCAGTGATAAAATATTACGAATATACAGAAATATATACACGGTGGCTCGCGAAAGCGGCTCCGAACACAGTTTCCTATACCACCCGTCATTCCGAGTTTTCGGGAGTCACTATATATATATTACGTATATGCGCGTATACATGTATAGGTGTATTAATGACAATGATGACAAGATTAATCAACAATATATAAGAATAATAATAATAAATATAACAAGATATATATATATAGATATATATATGTATATAGATATAGGCCATGTCACCGCATGCTAATTGCTAAGGACCAACCTTGTAGCGCTTGTATTGTAAAACACGGTTTTAGTAACCAGACTGGGTTCGTTCGACACTCATCGAGGAGTGACCGGGCGCCCTGCAAACGCACCGTTAAAACGTATAAACGAACAAGGACTACAAGACGCAGTGTCGTCGAGAATTCTGTGGCGTATCATTTCGGTCGAGAGAATCTTGATCTCTACAGTTTCTATCTGAACAGTTAACAATATTCTTCCCGCCTCGCTTTCTCTCTCTCTTTGCCGTCCCGAGTCAGTGGTATATGTACGCAATTTCGCGCAGGTCGTCAATTTTTCTGACCCCTTCCCCCCTAAATGTCAAGTCTGTTTCTTGTTCATCTGTCTCAACGCTCCCGTTGTCTTTCTCTGGTAAGGTTTTTTTTTTACTTAAAGAAAATAGGAATGGCTGTTGTCGTGAATAATTAGTGCAAATTGCAGTGCAACGTGTAACTGAATTAAATTAAGGCATGTCACAAGTATTGTTTGGTTAATATCCGGACATTTTCTCTTTCCTCATTCGTAGAAAGAAAAATCCTTTCTCAGTTATTCGACCGAGTAGGACTGGGTAAAGGTGATATATGAAGGTTGTGTTTACGAAGTAAAAAAATATAATATACATCGTTTCCAATGGAATCTGTCGATAAATAAATTTAAATTGCTCAATAAAAGAGATTAGGGTGGGTACTCAAATATTGAAAGAATTCCCTGAGAATTCCCGGATTTTCCAGGAAATTTATTCAAAATTCCAGATAAGATTAGAGAATTTCTCAATACAGCTTTAAAATAAATTAGGCACTAATGTCCATATTTACCAATGTAGATTAACTTTAATCTCGGTTTTATTTACTTTTTATGTTTTTCTAATTCTTAAAACTAGAAAAAGATACAAAATAAGTTAAATCAAGATTAAAGTTAATCTACATTGAATAGAAATGGCCATAAGAGTCTAATAACGCAATTTAATCTTCACATGTGTAGTTACATCTCCATACAAAATCTTTCGTAACGGAATTATAACGTAACGAAAGATTTGTATGGAGATGTATGTGAAAATTAAATTGTTTCATTTAAGTTCTGCGTTATTAGACTGTTAGCGCCTGATTTATTTTTTCCGAATTATCGTTTATTAAATTGAAGAGTCTTATATAGTATATGTTAATCTTAAAATAAATTTATTTTATTATATGCGCTTTTTAATATTCTTTAATCATGTAATCACAAAAAAGCCACAAAATTTAAATATAAAATTTGAAATAGTATTAAAAAGAAATAATACGAATTAAATGCCATATAATAATTTGCCTACAATATACGGCTTATGTATAATTTACCGGAATAATTCTGTAATGTATATTATTCAATTAATATCATTCATAGTGATAAAATTTATCTTTCTAAATTAGGATTCAATTATATTAATTGAATAATATACATCACGGAACTATACGTTAATATTGAGTTATTAAGTTTTTATTAGTTATTAAATTAAAATAATATTATCCAGGTAACACAGAGATTCCAAAAAGAAGTCATATATCATTAATATTAAGTTCATTTTCAAATGCAAAAAGAATTTGTTTTCTAAAAATTCTGAAAAGAAATCTTTTTACACCTCAAAATAAACTGAAAATTAATGAGTGATGACACATGACTGAATTATGAATGAATTCGTGTGTGTTATCTGTATATATCTATTAAAAAGCAAATATACAATATAAAACACTTTCCACACTCAATAGATAATAGACTCAATAGTCAAAGCTCTACAAAGATATAAAATAAAAAAGGAAGATCTATTATTATTAAGAAACAAACATTTCAATAAAAAATTTGTTTATACATATCTTTGGTAAAAAAAAACTGTCAACAATTTTTCTTTATATTTTTCTTTTAGTATGAAGCCCCTTTATCCTTCGATATGGAGCCACTTTCTAAAAGGATAAAATTAAATTTAAAAGTAAAATTCAAAAAATTTCTCTGAGTACCAGTAAAATTGTATGGGAATTTATGATTTTTATGCGTAAAAATGAAATTTCCTAAGAATTCCAGGTTTTCCCGGTACCGGCAGTACCCACCCTGCAGAAGCTACTCAATTATTGCCTGAAAAATATCTCTTGATCAACATATTGATTCAACATATCGCGCGAGTCACACATATAAAAATTTAAATTTTCGATAATTAATGATGCCGAATCGTCGTTAAATATAAACATTCCATCGGAAACGACCTTTCTACATTAAAACAACGTCAGCAAAATCAATTTTGTTAGATTACGGGTATGCGGTATCCTTGAAGCAGGAAAAAGTTCAAGAGAACATTCCTGGGGAGGTCGTTCTCGAAAACGAGGAGAATAGGGCAAGACTTTCAATCCAATATACTTTATCTGAAACTTCACGCGCGATAAAAAAGAAGAAAAAAAAAGGAAAACTTAAACCGTGATATGATTTATTCTCGTGCATTAATTAACGTGTTACCTTCAACAGCCAGTAAGGGAAGAGGGGTAGGGCAAAGGGGGAGAGAGGGGTAATTGGTAAGAAAACAAAAAATACCAAAGAGGTGAAATTTCCAAATTTCAACGACAAGAGGAGACAAAAAGTACAGTAGGGCAGCTCTGTCGAGTCGTGAGGGGCGCGAAGGAGAAAGGGAGGGGGGGGGGAGTTAACGGGGTGGCGGGTAGTTTTTCGTAAAGCTCAAACCCGCAGACACTTACCTGGTGGCAGGCCTATGGGGGGCGGTCGCATCATGTTACCTCCGTGAATGAGAGCAGGCGCGGCTAGGGTCATGGTGGGTCGCATCAGGGGCGCCATCAACGCGACCGAGCTGACTGGCATTGCTGCGGCTGAGGCCGGTACCATGACCGTCTGCGGCGGCCGCGGGAACCTCTGCTGTTGCTGCTGCAGCGCGTTCAATGCCGCCGCCTGCTGCTGCCGCTGTTGCTGATCCGCCTGAAACGCGGCCGCCGCGTTTGCAGCAGCCGCTTGCTGCTGTTGCTGCTGCGCCTGCTGCTGCTGCTGTTGCTGCACCGCCTGCTGCTGCTGCGCTGCCGCTTGTTGCATAGCGGCGACCTGCTGCTGCTGGCTCACCGCCACCGCCACCGCCTCCGATTGCGCCGATCGTCCAGATTCGTCTGTTTGACGACGCTGATACTTTGGCAGTCTTGCTCTAATTTCCTCCTGAAAAACGAATCCGTTGTTTAAAATCTATTTTGCTTCAGCAATTTCCGCATTTCAGCGTTATTCGAGGGAACTATTTTCAAAGATGATCTTTTCATTTATTATTTCATATCCATGTGATGCTAGATTATAATTAAAAACAGGAACGATCATCCAAAAACTAAAGTTGAAGAATAAAAGTATAAACTTACTAGACTGAGATCTTCCGGAGGGTGAATGATCTTACTGGCGGCCCCTGTGGTCGCGATAAGATTCACCTTATGATCGCCACTGTTGGCGAGGCTGTTGCCCGTTGCGTTACCGCCAGCGGGTTCGCCGGCGCTACTGTAAGCGGGGAATGTCGGCTTTACCGGGCCTATGGAACCGCCGCCGCCGGCCACCGATGTGATTGGTTTGAAGTCTGTGCCGAGAGGTCCTCCGGTAACCGATACCGCAGTCGATGCCGCTGTCGAGACGGCTGCGGCACTCGGGAACAACGGACGCGACGGCGGCATCGATGCACCCGAAACTGGCGGTTGCATACCGGAAGGCATGCCCGACATGCCGGGCATCATGCTAAAAAAGAAAAGATTAAATTGTGTAAACAAGTTTAATTTTAATTCGTTATTTGCATAAAAAAAGAAAAGATTAAATTATGTAAACAAGTTCAATTTTAATTCGTTATTTGCATTTTTTAAATAAACGTGTTAAAGAATTATTAATCAATTATGATTAGTATAAAGAGGTATAAATATTCAATATACTGGCAAATACAATACACACATTGCTAAATTTGAATCTAATTAAATATAATTAAATAAGAATTAAATTTAAAGATAATAATAAAGCTAATTGGACAGTTCTTATAATTTGCACTGAATTCTATTCGAATTCTAGACAAATTATTGCATTGTGAAATGAATGGTGGATAATCGGAAATCTATAATAAAGAAATTGAAAACTGAGATCAATATAAAGGCAAGGCGTACATTGAGATATATGTATAGCATAGTTAATTGAGGAGTACATACCCTGGACCCATAAATGGAGGTCCTACGTGGCCCATTGGCATCATGGGATGCATTGGAGGCATACCAGGATGCGGCGGCATACCAGGATGCGGCGCCATGCCTGGATGCGGTGCCATACCTGGCAACGGCGGCATACCTGGTTGCGGTGGCATTCCGGGTAGACCGCCCCCCATACCAGGCATCGCACCTGGAGCAGAGCCTAGTAGACCCTCAGGTTTCACCTTTTTCTGTACGGGCTCATCCTCGCCGGACGACGGGGAGCCAGGTCTACCACCGTTTCGCTGTCTCTCGTGCTCCTTCGCGTCATTCGGCGGTATGCCCTCCATTCCATAAATCTCTATCTCGATATTGCTACGATTTGGCAATGAATTCGGTACCTTGTCTATCGCTTCTTTGTGTACCTATGAGGACGAGACTCGTGTTAATCTTCAAATAATGTTAAGTAGACAGGACATAAAAAGTACTAAGAAAATTGTAATCTCATACCTGCATACAATGTATGCTAAGTCCTGGTCCAGTATACAGTTTCTTGTGGCAGATGTGACATTTGAAATGTTTTGCCTTTTGATGTTGAATGAGTATTTTCTCATCTTCGAATTCACGATTGCAATACCTTTTGAAGAATGGTGTTAAGGAAATTTACGGAATATCATTTAAATAATAGTTAGTTTTATATATCAGGTCTCCTAGATAAGAAACATCCGCACAAATAATAAGTCTAAAAGAATTCACAGCTTGCAAGGAAATTAAAATAAAATAAAAAAATAGAGATAAAAATTGGAGGATCTAATTTTCAAGATCAATTTGTTCTTTGAAATTAGGCTTTTCAAAATTACCTTCAATTTTTACAAATCAGTTTTATTTAAAAAAAAAAACCTTTGAAACTCTTTAGTGACTGAAAAAATATGTATTATTTAATCCAATCTATTGCAAACCATTGCAAATAAAATTTTTCCTTCAAGTTTCCATTTTTTGTAATTTATACAACTAAACAGACAGTTTTATATAATAACAACTAGATAATTATAATTATAATTATATAATAAACTAGATAATTTTAGAGTCAACCTTTAAATTGACTTTTGCAATGTCATCATAAAACAAACTCCAAAATGCTCATCCACGTGGAAACTTTTCGTGGAAACTTTTCAAACTTTTCGTTCAATTTACAGATTTAACACTGTTCAAACACATCCCTGTTCAAACAATGAAGCAATGTATCTCTCCAACTTCTATTTGTCACAAAGCACTCATACAAATTACTCATGACTCCACACAATAAATTCCATTGATTCCCCTCAATTCATTCTTTATGAAACTTAGGCTTATATTTAATTCATAAGTCTCTAGGCATTCAAACATTTTTAAGAGTCACTAAACAGGTCATCGGTATTTTCAATTGTCCCACATAAAAACAGCCAGCTATGTGAGAGGGGGGGGGGGGACAACAAATGGGAAACCTAAGCGGGCGAACCATCGGGTCTAAGATACAACGATTATTCCCAATTTCGTAGGGCAGGGAACATCGATCCTCCACGGCCGATTCGGTCGCTTCCGCGTGGAAGCCCCTCGGTCGCGCGTTACATCATCGTGCGACGCGTCGCGCGTATGTACGCGCGAGGACATCGGGGAGAAACAGCTGCGCTCTCTCACGTACACGTATACACAGAGATGTCGCGTGTCGCGGTGACGCGAGGAAATCCGCGTATCGATTTCCCCGCCTTCCGCGGACACGAACACACCGCCGCAACGCGGATCGCCCCCGAGCTCCTCTCTGGGGGCGGGAAAGGGGCACAAATCGACGACCCGCTGCGTAAATCACCGGCCGATCGCGATCCCGACGCAACCGACGTCGCGGTCCAAAAACACGGTTACGTAAAAGCGACGACCGCTGCAGGTCGTCGTCGTTGACGCAGTCATCCTGGGGGGGAAACGAAAAAGGATACCAGCACCAGGGTCTCGACTGCTTCTTCTTCTTGCGGCCCATCCTTCCTCGCCGGGGATTACCGGAGACTTGTCGCTATCGGCGATGACCCCTCTTCGTGAAGACAAATCCTCCGTCACAGTCACGACGTGCAAGTAGTATACGCGGGGCGCAGTGGAGGAGAACACCTCGACGATCGCGACACCGCGCACGCACACACGCGAAAACCGATAATGCAAAATGGCCGCCGTACCTCTTCCGCAAGGGCCGACGGCCGGAAGTCGCTAACGTGGCGCGCCAGAACGTCCTAAAGAGGTCTAGGGGAACCTGGGGAGTTCTCGAACGCGAATGCGCTCTCCCCCTAGACAGGTGGCGCAATATTTATGAATTACGAGCGGATCGCGCGCAACGGGAATTGAAAATGTTAAATGCAGTTAATCTCAATTCATAGACGTTATCTCGTGTATCTAGACTATTTATATATTTTTTCTTTTTTATACATAAAAATCTGTGAGATGCAAATCGCGTGAAGAGGGCGGAAGAAAATGGCAAATACTAAAAATAATAGAACGTGTTTATATCTCATATGCATACCATAGTAAAGAAATATAAAATACAACCAATGATGACGAGCATAGTGTGTGTAAAATATATATATATATATTACATATATATTAAGGTAAACGTATCAGTGACTGAATGTGTATCTACAGCTGAACAGGTACACAAAGCAAGCACAAAAACTTATTTTTAAATGCTTTTTTTCATAATATTATAATTTAATTGTAATCTGTAAACATTTTTACAATTAAATTTTGATATCCTATCCTATTCTAAAAAAAAAACATGTTAAATCAAAGTCAAGAATTATCAAAGTAAAGAATTATCGAAAAGTCTTGAAATTTATTGTTGACTCCATTCCGTAACGTTAATTGGTTGTCTCGCTGTGCTTACTTTGTGAGCGGCTGTCATTGCATATTTTGACAGTTGCGTGCATTGAGGTTGATGTGTAATTGTAAATAATAGTAAAAAGTAAAAAGTGCAGCTAAATAGCGCGCGTCTGTAGTGCTAGTTATAATAAAAAAAGCATTTGAGATTAATAAATTTTGTGTACGTATTCAGATATAGATACTTGTTCTTGCACTGGTACGTTTACCTTACCGTCGAAACCCATAATCGTTAAAACTAGGTCTATAATTACACTTTTTCACATAGATTTTCGACTTTCTACACGTAGCAAGATCCAATCCCCCTCCGCGCCTGTTTACGAAGCGAAACGAGATCTATAATTGTACTGTCCATGTAGGTTTTCAATTTTACGTCTAATTAACAACTACTCTAATTTTAACTAATGAATTGGGGTTTTAAAAATTATGAGTTTTGACGATAATCCCATATATAAATGGTAACCCATTCTGGAAATACATATTTCATTTACAAATTATATTGTGTATATAATATATTATATATATATATTTATATATATATAATAATAAACATGAAAAATTATTCAATTATCAAATTATCGTAATTACTCTTTTCTTCTTGTCTTAAGATTCGTCCTTCTATAGGATTTCATCTTGTGCTTCAACATTCATGATTACATTCAGTTATCTCAATTGTATTTCCGCGATTCGTATGAAGAGCAAAGAAAAAAATGAATATACAATTGCACACTTCTTACAATTTCACATTTTCCTAACTTATATAGTATGCATATATAATAACAATTGTAAAGAGAAAGCTCCAAAATTGATGACTATATATCACGATTGTAGCGGTATGTAAAGCGCTCGTACAACAGTTTCCTTGGGACTGGAAAATTTCTTTTTTGTGATCAGAAGAAAAACCTCCGTTAGCTGGCGATCCTTTGCTTCAACGGGATGTCGCTCTCGGAATCGCTGGACTCATTGATGGTACCCGCGATGTCGTCCAAGGACTCGGACCTCTCTCTCTTTATCTCTACCTTAATTTCTGTCTTCTGATCGTTGTACGGCTAAAAATTTATATTACATTAAATTACATTTTTGCTGAGTTTGCATACTAAATTACATAAATTTAGTTATATTATTGTACGTATTTAAGGGGTCATGCCTTCTTGAGGTTTTGAAATGATGCCTTAAGTTTGGGATTTTTTTGTAGGTAAATGGATAAACTTGATTTAAAATCAGTTTAGACGACATTATATTGTATGTACATATATAAGAAATAAAAAAAATATTTTTTAATTTTTTTATGTCCAAAATGGCGGCGCACTGACCTACACTTGCGGAATCCCTTTTTTCCTATCGGTGTACAGGATTCCAGGCACACGGTTTGACCTTGAACAAAACAAAGAATTTTCATTATCTTACATATTGAAGACTAGAGATGTACGTAAGGATTTTTCAAAATATTGATTTTTGTCAAAATAGTAGTCATTTTTCGAAAAAATTTTACTTATATTGACAAAAATGCTTTTCGTAAAAATAGCTGCCATTTCGAGAAAAATCCATATTTTAAAAAAACCCCTACGTATTTCTCTAGTCTTTAATATGTAAATAAAGAAAATTGTGTTTTGTTCAAGATCAAACCGTGTGCCTGGAATCCTGTGCACCAATTTGAAAAAGTGGAAAAAAGGAATTCCGCAAGTAGGCCAGTGCATTTTGTACATAAAAAGAAATAAAAAATTTTTTTTTTAGTTTCTTATATTTGTACAACACAATGTCCTTTAAACAGCTTTTAAATAAAGTTATCTATTTACCCACAAAAAATCCCAAACTTAGGTATCATTTTGAGGCCTCAGGGGATAACATGATCCCTTAATATTACAATATCACATACTATTGCACAATTATATTTGATTTATAAGTAGGTTAAATTTATATTATGTCGAATTATGCTGAGAGATTGTAAGCAAGAAAACTAAGGATGTGAAGCGTGTTTGTGAAACTTGTTTTACCTTTATTCTATGATTAGTCTTCCTCTGAAATACACTAGATCGCGGTACATATTTCTCGGCCACAGGCTCCACCCTCCTGATGTCGAAGTCCTGGTCGATTTTGGTCACCGTCTGCATCCTCTGCTCCTCTGAAGTCACGTATAAATCATCCGGCGAGTGGTAAGCATTGTGTACGTTGTAGGCCCTCTTGTTGCAAAACATCGCTGCGCACACTGTACACTTGATCAAATCATCCGGCATAGTGTCCCTTTCTTTCTGCAAAAAAAGCAATTGCAAACAGTAGAAAGATATTTAAATTTTCAATAGCGGAAAGATATTTAAATTTTCAAGCGTGCGTACAAAATTACGTCAGAATTATCGCTTATATTCTTTAATTGTACCTCATTCATTTTTTTATAGGTTTAAAATAGTAAATGCGATAACTATTAAATTTATTTACATTATATCTATGTTTCTGGAGTGACGTATTGTTCTGTGTGAGACCGGTCGACTTGTAGTCATTTGACCGTCATTCCATGTACACGCCTCGATTTTATAAGAGGTATTGGAAGTTAAATACTGTCAGTAAAGAAGTATAAAGGAGATGATAAAAAATCATAATCCGTATTTCGCGGAAATTCAATATTAAAGGAAAAATATATTTATCTCTCTTACTTTCGTGTGCATCTTTTCCAAGTGCTGCTGCAAGTTAAACTTTATAACGTACTCGACGCCGCACAAATGACAATAGTACACACTCAGTGCGTCGTTCATCGAGTTCAATTTGATCTTGTTGCTAGGTGGAGGAGTGGCTATCGGATGGAATATGTGTACCATTCTGAAAAGTAATGCAAACAAGTTAGATTTATCATAAATTTTACACTGAGAAAAAAAAAGGTGTAAAATCAAGTGCGAATTTCTTGATTCAACTATACTTGGCGTGTCACGGGCTGTGTCAAATATTTGTTAATTCACAAAAATCATGTTAATGTTATTGATGTATGTTCAATTCAAAAACATATGTAATTGAATCAAAGAAAAACTGTCAATAGAACGCATTTAGTTATTTTAACAACTTTTTTTTCTCATTGTACAAATATGTATAATATATCGAAGAGGGACCGATGTTTAAAGGCTTGTGTCCACGAATGTCCACGATATACTAGAAATCGAAAGTTCTTGGATCGAGAACTTTATAGCCAATAAAATTACTACTTTTTCATAAAAGCTGCAAATTGATTGGCTACACAGTTCTCATCCAAGAACTTGGACCAATTTCTATTGTATCGTGGACACAAGACTTAAGCCGCTTACCTTTTATGAATGGATTTATTGTGGTAATCCAGTGCCTTCTCGTTGTAAAACAACACGTTGCACTCGTCGCATTTCCTGTGTTGATCCTTATTCTCGCTTTCAGTTGCATCGTGCAACATTTGATGATTATCCCTGTGATTCTGAACAAATGCGTTCTCATGAGATTATTGTAGAAACGACAGAGAGAGAGAGAGAGAGAGAGAGAGAGAAAAAAGAGGAGTATTATATATAAAGCATTTACCTTTAGAGGAAACTGTTTTCCACAATAGGAACAATGGAATTTGGTCGGTGAATTTGGATGCGCCTTGAACCTGTGCCTTATCGTCGCTCGCATCGAATCGAACGATTGATTGCATATGTCGCATTGAGTGTTTTCATTTTTCCTGGCTTTTATCGGCCGCCCTCGACCATCTATCTCCTTATTCGCATGTTGTCTGTGCACGAGATGAAAGACTTACTTAAAATACCAGATAATGAATAATGAATTTTATATTTTTTATATATAACATGTATATATATTTGCATGCAGAAAATGGTTCAAAATAACGAAAGAACTCCAATAAAACCAGAAGTGGAAGGTACATAAGAGTCCAAAGTTTGCTACTGCAACGAATTGAACAGTAACGCGATAAATTGATTCTAAATCAATTTTACTTAAATCATATTTTTCACGTACATCCAATTTTTCATTTTCCATCCCACATTTTAATTTCCGTCTCTAAAGACGCTACAGACTTATAACATTTTACTTTTTAAATAGATTTTCCTATCTTGACTCATATCGACATATCAGCTTATATCATAGGTACGCGCGTGGGTGACTTCATCTGTCATATGTGTGTGTACGTGTGTGTCAAATGTTTTGAACGATTCGAATCAACCCCTTGAAGGCCTTGAATCTCCCCTCGTCGTGCGTGGCACGCGTTTCACGATAACGTCGCGGAGGCACGATTAATCGACTCGGCTGGACCGCGACTCGGTGAATCTCGACTCGCGGTTATGTTACGACGAGCGAGGAGCACGTAGTACCTGAAGTGCTGCTGCAGTGCCTCCTTGGAGTCGAGCTTCGACTCGCACAGAACGCAGTTGTACTCCTCCCGGGTGCTCATCTCAGGCGCTCGGAGATCTGAACGTGAACGTGAGGCGAGCGAGCATCCGAGGCCGCACGCGTGGAACGCCGAGACTGGCTCTCGAAGCACGCGAATCGTCGCGCGAACTGTCGCATTCGACGGCGTTCGCGATCGAACACGTTCGCCGACCGTCCGTCCCGCCGCGACCCTCGTCCACTCGTCGTCCGATCGGCAAAACACCTGATCTCGCGAACGAGAGAAAGGGAGAATTACGCCCGGAACACACGGCAAAAAATCAATTTTCGGCCATTTTAATCGCGTTGAAAAGATGCGCCATCTAACAGACACGCAAACAAAATCGAACGTAAGGTACGTTCCGGAGGAGTTGACAGGGGACCAACAGGGGACTTGATTCACGCCGCGCCGCGTGCGCGTTTCTCTCGCTATCGCGTGAGAGCTGAAAAAGGAAGGATTTGGTATAATCGAGATTTCAGGGAATAAAAAGTATAAGAAAAAAACAAGAGATCGATTTTTGTCTGAAAATTATAAATATAATTCGGAATACAATTATAGTATAACTTAGCATTAATTTGGAAAATAGAATTTCGAGTTACAACAATTTCTTATTCAAGGCTCAAGTTACACTTTCAATTAACGTAATTTACGTAAATAAAATAATTATTCCATTAAACTATCGTTCGCCGTTATATAATTGCATTTATTTTTATTATGTAAAAGTGATGTACTTGGCAAGTTTCTCATGGAAGACATGTATAATATATTTTTTTTCCTCCTATAAAATGGTATATATGTAAAACTAAGATCTATAAAATAAATTTAATACTGTCGTTCGACAAGTTCCTCCCATTAGTCCTATAATAAAATACTTATTCTTCGGTATAGAATATACGTATATATAAAAATCTACGACTCTAGAGGATATATCTATCAGTTCCTTGCTTAGCACGGAATAAAGAGCAAGTTAACGTTTTGAAATATACATCTCCAATTTCCTCGTGCTTTTAGTTTTCTTTATCTCTAAGACATAAATTTATGTTAACACTTCGCCGATGGGGATTTAATAACTTGGGATTTAATAAAATTTATAATTTTGACATAATAAAAAAAAATTATATTAGTTTGAGAAAGGTTACATTTATACATAACTTTTATATCTTTCAATCTTTTAAGAATATAAATCTTTCTGTTTTTTTAAACGCCTTGCTATTATATTGGTAGTATCGTTAATTTAAATAACGTTAAATTTGACTGTAGAACAATATTAATACGAATAAAAATTAAGAAAAAATTAATTTCCATATTTTAAACATTTTGTGAACCATGCAATCGTAAGTTCTGAAAAAGTTGGCGAAGTGTTAACGAGGACCCTAAATTTACCACGAATATTCGTGCACGTACGCAAAAATGAGTCAACCTTCAAAATTAATAGATACAATTGTCAATCTTGTGCGACAACCCAGCCAGAGTGAACGTGTTTCGCTGTGGTCTGAATATTGCATCATCCAATTTTTTGAAAGTTATATATATGGTTTTTCTGAAAGGAATTAGAGAAAGTAATATAGAAAGGAATAGGAAAAGTAATATAAAATTGAGATAATAAGAGTAGAAGCTAAATAATGGATTTAAGAGAAAAATTAAGGATTTCGCGAATTTTCAATGTATTTAAAACATTAAATTTAATCTATAATTACAATAAATTAAACTCAACGTTTTCAATTCAATCTATTATTATAAAATACCCAGTGTTATTAACCGTCTTTGGCTCGATTCTTTTTGATATTTATATTGAATTAAAGATTTTAGTTTGTAAAAAGCGTCATATAATCTTGAGATGTTTGGGAGGCGTAAAGCCACCACCTGGTACAACGTACTAAAAATCCCCTAAACAGATTGTGCTCGATAGTGAAGAGAGATTCCGAAGCTTTACGAATATTTCAAGCAGGCGAATCTCCTCTTTCTCGAAATTATCTCGTGGGTCAAACTCATTCTTGCACGAATGCTTCATTTATATGTTGATCAATCGCAATTAATTAATGCAATTGTTGATATATCGGCGACGATTGCCCGTCGGTCACACCTTGCGCCGCCAGTTCCGCGAGCGTTCTTTCGAGGTAACTATGGTCGGGGTAGCCGTGGCCGGACGTGGACGGTCCGAGCTCGGTCTTGTGGTGGATCTCGTTCCACGTGACGACGTCCTCGCGACCGGTAGTGACCGAACGGCCGATCGTGAAGATCAGCCTGCGCTCGAACGCGATCTGCAGCAGTCTCAGTACACGGCGGCCGAGATTGTTGTCCGGCAGGTAGCACACCCGGGGGAAGCCCACGGCGTAATACGCCTGGCCCGGATTCGGGTGTTCGTTACCCTGAATTCCCGATGGAATGCTGAGGAAATTAAAATTAAAGATTGATACAGATTTCCCCCTTGCGAGTATACTTATGTTTATTCAGAGAATGAATTGTTGAATTTATTTGTTATCCAATATTTATTTCAAATTAAATTGTATATAATTAATTAATAAGTTAAATTACTTATTCCAAATAAAATATATTCGAAATTAATTCTTTTAAACTGCGAAAGTTTATACAAAATTGATATGGTATTTCCTTTAAAAATTAAAACTGAAAAATATCGAAGGACTTTACAATTTTCCGATCTCTCGATTTAATTTAGAAATTTTCATGATAAATAAATAATAAATAAATATAATATATATACATGGTGTCCAGCGATATCTGACTAGCCAATTCAAGGATAATTCCGGAACATTCCAGGTAAAAGTCCTGATTTTTCTAGGTCGACAAATTTTCATTAGTTAATTTTTTTATTCATTTGCGCAATATTATATGTTTTGTATTCAAATTAAAATTCTATATGACGAATCAATTAAAATGCAAACAAATTTAAAACAATATTATTTATTGCCTTACAAATTGCTTGTTTTATTGCATCTTTAAGAGAGAACATATGCAATCATAAAGTTTCCCTCAAAAAAGACATAGTTCTTGCATACACGCAAGAAATATTTCTTTTTTTACGATCCAATTTTTTTAGAATAAAAGAATAATAAAAATTCAAGGTCAATTCTGAAATTCCAGGGGTTTTCCAGGAATTTTCACATTAAATTCCATAATAATTCCAGAATTCAAGGATATTCAAGGATCGCTGGACACCCTGATATATCACAGTATTTTTTTTATACTTACTCATAAGTGATTTGTATAGTATTGGTGTTCGGGAAGCCCGGCAATGCCCGCGGTATCCGCGTCCAATTCATCATGCCCGGCGGCTGATTGCCCCTCTTCTCGCCGTAGATCATACGGCAGACTGGGCACTGTATGTACATGGGTGGCTGCTGGCAGCTGAGCATCGCGTTCAAGCACGCCAAGTGCAGTCTGTGCCTGCAGCGCGTCAGCTCGACCGTCAATGGCTCCGGAGCGCCCAGGCACACCGGACACGAATCGGAGCCGTCGCTCTCCACCACCTTCACATACTGGGATATCACGTCCGATGTAGCGTCCATCCCTAGATTAATTAAATCAGACACATTAATATCACTCCGGACGTTGTCTAATCTTGTCGAACGTTCGACAAAAATCTTGAAATTTAAGATAAACGTACCAGTGGCTGAACATGTACCTATATCTGAACACGTACACAAAATTTATTAATCTCAAATACTTTTTTTATTATATCAAAATTTAATTGTAAAAATATTTAAAGACTACAATTAAATTATAATATTATGAAAAAAATCATTTAAAAATAAATTTTTGTGTACTTTGTTCAGCTATAGATACACGTTCAGCCACTGGTACGTTTACCTTAAATATGAATATACAAATGCGTGCAAAAATAAAATAATTATAATTTCTCTTTGTAAATAATCGAATACAAATTACTTTGCCGTATTAAAATAAACAAAAAATTTATAGAATATACGGAACAGCTAAAACGATTTTTGTAAAGGCGCACCGAGAATGGAATCCTTGAACGCGTCGTCGCTTCCCATACTGCTGTCCAGCAAATCTATCGGGTTCTCGTGGCTCAGATACGTGGACACGGTGTCCACGCTCGGCCGGCGACCGCTCTTGGTGCTGCTGGAATCGACGTCCAGCACCGTGTCCCAGGTCTTCCTCTTCTGTCCGGACTCCACGTTCGTCGCCGCGGGATTGTTCTCGATCCCGTGTTTGCTGCTGAATATGTTGAAATTACTGAGAATAACGCGCGCGATGTTCGTCGGTCCATTCGTCTCCCCGCTTTTGCTCTGAAAAGAAAAAAAAACAAAGACGATTCGCGAAATGAGAGCTGTCCAGATCTGTAGGAATGCTAATCGCGCCTGGAAGAAAGGCGGTACTAACTTTCTTGCTGTTTTTCTTCGCACTTCCGTTCGACGATTTCTTATGCGCTACCTTGACGGCGGAACTCTTGACCGTAACCGACGCGGATCTCCTCCCGGAAGTGACCTGCAATTCCTCCAGCGCGACTTTGACCAGCGGATAGGGCGCCTGTTGTACACGCCTTATCGGCCTCACGTAGCCCGTGCAACATCTCACTTGCGTCAGATTGCAGAAGTTGATGATGTAAGGGAAACCCAAGTAAGTCTTGGAAACGTCGATGGTTTTGTCACCCTGGAAAATAGTATTTCGTTTTAGGAGACTCGAGCACACAAGGAATTATTTACCAAGCAATAATCGCTCGCTTACTCTCGCCCAGGCTTCCTCTATAAGACATTGCACTTCCATGTCGTAAGTATGCCAATCGTCCGAGTCACCTGCCCATTCCCACTTGGCACCTTTGCCGGCCGGCGAACCCGGCAGATAAAACTTTCTCCTCACATTGTGCGTCTCGTCGCCGTCGTCGCTGCATTGTGTTTTTGTCTTCAAATTGATGTAATACCTAATCAAACAAATCAATTATCATCTTTAAAATATAAGATTAAAATATAAGATTTAATACCTATGTATATTTCTCGTCTGTACATGTCTTGTGCAAAGTTCTAACAATTTGAATTGTAAAAGTTGGTAAAAATATATTATAAACAAAAATTTTTCTACTTTAATGCAAACAAACAAAAAAGAAATATATAAATATCTCTAAAAATAATTATATATATATATATATATATAATGCAATAAGAAAAATAAAAAAATATATATATAAAATAAATATCTCGCGCTCTTATTATTTCGCATTAAAATAAGCTTTCGAAGTCAAAAGTCAAATCGATGAGCAGATGAATTTTCGATAAACAATCAATTATCGCTAATAGTTAAAATTATACGTGTTCGCCATGTGTGTATACATCTGCTCATTCCATTCTCAACTTCTCCTTCTCTCTTTTTCTTTCTCCATCTTTCACATTTTTTTTCTCTTTCTTTTCCCCAGCAAAACCCAAACATACACCTGCCTCACTTTTTATCGCGAGGCAAGTGCAATTAAGACGGGACGGACTACAGGCGAGATGTATACTCTCGTATCTCGAACGCGTGTCGCGTTTCGGACCTGTCGAGGGTGGGATCCGCGTCGTTGAGGAACACTCGCGTGAGCTTCTTATAATGGGCCCGCTCGAGATGCTGCGACACGGCCGGACTGTAGGGCCTCCACCGTCCGTGACGGTTCTCCCACTCCCACACGACCACCGCGTGTCCGTGCTCCTGCCCCTGGGCGCTCATCCTCTCCCCTCCCCCTCCACCGCCGCCGCTCACGACCCTCCGCGACCCTCCGCTCAGCCCGCCGCCGTGCCCTCCCGGAGGAATTTCACACGCACACGCGACATACACTCGCAACGTAGCGGCAGCGTGGGAACATTTTCGAGTTTTCCCACGGTCACCACCGCGACGGCACCGACGGTCGTCCGAACGTCGCGAGTCGAATTAACCGAACGGCGAACGAATCGATCCACTTTTCTCCCTTTTTTCTCGTCGCTCGAAACACTTGGCTCCGCACGTCCTCCTCGGTCCCGAAATGAAAACACACGACGACGTTGTGGAAATCCGGATCTCCTCTCTCTCAAGAGAGAAAGAGGAAGAGAGAGAGAGAGACCAGAGAGGAGAGGAGGAAGAAAACACGCGCGCATCAACACGCACCCTAGCGCAAACTGAGGCACTGCGAGAGGGTCGGCGCACGCGAGCGACGAGAGATGCCGCCGCCGTGGACGGTGAGAACGCGCGCGGCAGATGCACGGATTCGATAGGTCGACCCGGTCGATCGGAGCGACTCCGAGGAAGCGGTCGCGACTAGCGGGTTTTCGAGCGATCGAATGGAAACAGATAGCCACCAAGGAAGGCCGAACGTGGTGGGACGACCTGTAGATTAAACTCCGATCAACTGATCGCCGATTAAATTCACTCTCCGACAGAGATGCTCCAAATTTTCAGCCGTATAATCCGCCACATCGCTAATTTTCTTCAAATGTCAATCGACGTACAAAAAAATTAATATATAATTCTATATCTATGTTAATAATATTTCGTAAGTATTTTGTAATCACTGCGATCAAGTTGATCGGTAGAATTGCTTTAAAACAAAAGTTCTAATTCTACAATCTAATCTTTTTTTCTTCCGTATGTCAACCTGTTTTATTGAGAAAAAAAAGTAATTTTTTTCAACGCGTTATTTTTGCAATTATCTTCACAGATTAAACAAATCCTTTCCCAAACAATTAAAGTATTAGACGTCAATGTGTAACTCAAGTCGATCGAAACTAAAGTCTCCTTCGTGAATTACTGGGAGGGCGAAAATTCATCGAAATTCCAAGGAAAATTATTTCATTCTCTGACGTCCGATATGCCCCGGGGCACCCTGGATCCCTTGGTTCGCCATTGCCGAGTGATTTTTCGCTTCTGCGTGAGAGAGAGAGAGGGGAGGATTTGTAAATACCCGTCAGCTGACCAGGGTATCTCAAGAAAGGCGACATTGGAGCACCGTGGAGCGCGACGTCTCGTTCGAAGCCCGCGATAGTGGAATTGTGTTCGCGGAGGCGGTTTAATCTGGACTCCGCCGCTCCGCGCACTTCCGACGCAGCCGAGAGCGGCGTTATAGCACGGGACGAGGAGCGGATACGCGGAGGGGGGCGGGGGGGGTGGGGCGAGGGGAGATCGGTAGATGCCCGTCAGCTGACGAGGATGCCTCGGAGATACCTCGCGATTAGCGGCGAGCGACGACAACGACGACGACGACGAGGGGGAGGAGGCGGTGGTGGCGGAGGGGAGGCGTAGACGTCCGTCAGGGGGGTTGTTCGGGTGGTCCTGCTGCGGCCTGGGCGGGGAGGTGAGCGCGGGCGATCGAGGGCAGCTCGAGGATGTTCTGCGCGGAGGGCAGCTCGTCGTCGAAGGGCAGCTTCCTGCAGCAGAAGAAGGCCGCGCGCGAGGATCGGGCGCACGAGAAGCGCAGAGAGGCCGCGGCCACCCTGATCCAGGCCCACGTCCGTGCCTGGCTGGCCCGCGTTCGGTTCGCCAAACGGATACTGTAAGTGCGACACACACAAAGCCTATATATATATGTATGTAGGACCGTTCCATGCGCGTAAAGACGCGAGAGACGCGGGCTGCCCGCGAGAGCGTGTATATACAGCCGTGCAGGCACGTGCGAGCCGACGATGTTTATGTGAAGGAATGCGTGTGCCAACCGTGTGAACACTGTGAACGGAAGTCGACTGCGTCGCGCGATATTGAACTTGTTCGATATGAATTGTAGAATAACACTGTGTAAAAATTATTGCAGTTATCACTGCGGTGTAAATAGCCTGCTGATAGTCAGATTCGCAGAACTCCAAGCAAATATGATGATAAGTCGAATCATTGTAGAATGACTCTGTGTGTGTTAGTGTGTGTGTGTATGCGTGTGTGTGTGTGTGTGTGAGATATTTATATATTTAGTTTAACTTTTTATCTTATTTAATGTATTAGTATAAGATTAATTTTTATTTGCTCTATCCGTTATTTCAATTAACAAACAAATTAATTAAATTTGTATCTTCCGCAAGAATTGAAAAGAATTTATGCAAGTAGCACAAAAGCAGATCGATGTGTACAATGCATGTATAATTTTATGCGAAGTTTACACAGAGTTGTATTTGACAAGAGTACATTTTTGTCTCTAGGGAAGAATTTGATAAAAATTTCCCTGATGACGTCAGCGTCGACAATGCAACGGTGGAGCTGAAGCCTGCTCTGGAGGTGTACAGAACCATTTCTAGATTTTTGCTAATTTACAAGAAGGAAAGGGATCAAGAGAGGATAGAGAGAGTGTGCAGGTGACACACACACACACACACACACACACATATATATATATACACGCAGCGCAATTCATCACTTCTGCTTTCTGAGAGATATATCCGGAGCGCATTGTTCAACCGCATGGACGATCTTTCAGATACCTCGTGCTGACTCTCGACTCCGAGTCTCCGAAGATATCCTACGTCGGTGTGGCGCTCAACAAGGCTCACTACATATCATGGATATCGCAAATGAAGACGGTCTTGTACCACTGCCTCTCCGGCTTGGACAGCCTGAAGCCGGAGAGGGTGTCGGACCACAAATCCATACTCCTGCGGCTGCACACTCTGGTGAGCTTCACGTCGCCGGGGACGTGGGCCATACAGAAGGTGAAGGGCATGGACCAGCTCAAGACCGGCATGAGCCAGCTGTGCGCAAACATAATGGGCCATCTAGTTAACAATGGATTCTACGCTACTATGCAGGTAACCGTCAGCGGCAGGAGACTTTCTAACACGATTTCGATCTTTCCTCTAACCACAATTCCAAATTACGTTCTCCATTTCAGACGCTCTTAATGAAGGGACTGGGTAGAGCGAAAATCGCTCTGAAACCGGTTACGCTTTCAGCAGCGGTCACTCTGACACTGAGGCCGCTGATCTCTTCGCAAATGTCCGACAAGCTGGTGTCCCTGTTCCTAATTAACATCTTTAGCGTGCCGGCTTTGGTCCATCACCTGAATATCATGTCACCGGAGGTAAAAAAACAAATAAGAAAATATCTACGAGCTTTATTATGCGTTACGATATCTCTTCTCTGAGATCTAAGTATGTAAATATACGTTACGAAACAGACGACCGGAGCACATCACAAATTCAATACGCCTAATATTATCATGGAAATTTATGTAACGGGGTAATTCTTTGTTCGACACAATAATTTGAAACGTTATTTTAACGTCATGCTACAAGTCGGGCGACCCCAATGTTCGGCCATGAAGTTCATCCGACAATTTTTTAGTACGCCATTCAATCCGGACGACATTATGTATCCACATTTGACGATTACGTTTTTTTATTTATAATTTTATAACAGTATGACTCCGTTTTCGGTATTAATTAACTTCACTTTGTACTGACTAATTTGCTTACAGCATATACATTATTTATATTTAATGTGCTGCGTTACATAAAGTTAGGTATATTTAGGTGATTGAAAAAGGTCTAGTGAGGTCGAAACTTATAGTATCGCGAAATTGTAATATCTATATATATATAATTATCTCTATACACTGAGAAAAAAAATTACTTAAAACAAATAAATATGTTTCAGGTACCTCTCAAAAAAATAATTTCTTGAAGCAAGTAAAATTTTTTTTTTTAAGTAATTTTTTTTCTCAGTGCAAA